AAAAACCGGAAGTTCTGCTGCAGTACCAAGGTCAGCCACCAGGAGGCCCAAAATCGACCTCGACATTTGCATACCCAACTCCTACCCACATACCAAATATCATTACAATCCATCCAAAGGTTCAAAAGTTATGCTGGCCGAAAATGTCCGGAAACACAGACACACACACACACAGACAGACACGCCGAAAACAATACTTCCATTTTTCATGGAGGTAAAAATGGACTGTTCTCTAGTGAGTCACATTTTTAGTTGGAGAACAGCTTATTCTAATGTTCGTCTCACATCTTATGATTAGAGTTTGTTGATTAGAACCTAAGTTAAGAGACGATATGCATCTGCCAATTGCTAATACCCCCGTCACATTGCGCGTAAATCGATCGGCCGACTAGTTGGCGATCTCTAAACGACATTTACGGCCGAAGTACGCCCGATGTTCCGTCGAGCATCGCGCGAATTTTCGGGATCGCCGACGATTTTTTGGAGTCGGCCGAAGCTCGCTGACACGCGAAACGTGTTCTTAACATCAGCGACTAGTCGCCGGCGATTTTTGAAGTCGCAGAGCTCGTTTCCAGCTCGCGCGTAGCTCGCCTGTAGCTCGCCCCTGTGCGGCCGAGAGTCGACCGATATTCGGACGTACATCCCACGAGTCTCGGCTGTATTTCGTCTTTGAAAATCGGGCGACGGTCGCTGAATACGGTCGACCCTCGCGCGAGCTTCGCGAAATATTCGGGCGACCCTCTTCCGTACCTCGCCCGACTTGCGCAAAGTTTTTTAAATCGTGCGTGCTTCGAGCGAGCTTCGTGCCAGTGTCGGACGAAGGTTCTACGAGCCTCGGCCGAGCTCCTGTGAAGTTATTATTTATTCAGCACCTGTGACATTTATTTGAGATTTCATTGACAGTATACTGTGTAAAGTTTGTAGGAGCAACGTCCCATTGATTGTTAAAGTTAAGTTTACGAGAAAGGATAAAAATAGACAAAATCGTCCTTTTTGTCCTTTTGTTAAATCAACATTCGTTAATAAACAAAACCACTTTAAAAAGATGACGAGGTTTTAACTATATAAGGCCAAATGCCTAGATTTTGACCTCAACTGATTGAACGCACATGAAATTCTTTACTCTTGTCCCTTTAGGAGGTGTGTGGCCTTATTTCAGATGATTGTATAATAAATTGACGTTTACACTTGTTCATCCTGGAATGAGGTTGACTTTTTTCTTAGGGCACCCACAAGAACGTCATGTGATAGATATTACTTACCAGTTGAAGTTTATATTGCATGGGTCTTTTTACCTGTCTACTTTGTTGACATTGAATGGCTTGTTTACCGGAAGATTCATACTATTTTAGACAGAAGTATACAGGCAAAGTTTTAGAACAATATATCTTATTAGCTTTGTTCGGGTACGCGTTTATAAAAAGATTTTGATATAATGATAATCATTATGTCTTGTTGTACGTTTTGGTTGAATGGTCTAGAGATCGTGCGAGCATCGATAGATTGTCGACCGTAACTCGGGCGACGTACGCCCGTGTGTCGAGCGAGCTTCGGCCGACTCCTGTCTGGTTAAAAAGGTGGTCGTTGTGTTAACCAGACGGAAGTGTAGATTTGTGGCTCTTGTGGTAGTATTTGAGTTGGATCCTTCACAGAATTCCTGTTTGTATTTCTATTTTATTCTGCCAGCCCGCTCCATTACTTTGCTTTAAAATATATAACGACAGGTCAAACATAAAAATTGGTTAAGCTATTCATTTTTGGTGGATACACGGCCTTGCTTCATCTGCGTGCCCTGTCATAGGGACTTCATTATCATAGATGTATTGCCAAAAGATCGCCCGAGCCTCGCACAATGTGACCGCGACGATTTTCAAGCCAAAAATACGCGCGATCGTCGGTCGATCTCAAAATCGGTCGATCTTTCGGCGACTGACAAATACGGCCGAAGCTCGTCGACAATGTGACGGGGGTATTAGGGATCCTTACTAAGGCCGTGTTTAAGTGAAGTCACCCAAACCGCGATTCGGGTAACTCACATTCCTCACACCTGGTCCACGCGCCACACACTCCTGTGAAACCGTGTCCGATCACAATTCGCCTGAGCTACATTTATTGTTGTTTGATGAAAACACGCAAGGTGGCGTGTTATTAATGTCAGAGGTCAACGACCTGCCTGCTGATGCCCCCCTCCCAGCGTATTTCGGCCGAATGCCGACGTGGTCCCGCCAGAGGCGGTGAAGCTCGCCCTAGAACGAACACATTATTTGACCATTACTGCTCTTTAAGTTGCTGCCACGTAAAAGTTGGTATTGCATATAAATAAAGAAATATCACCCCGTAATCCATGATCAGGCAAAGTTACATTGAAATCACATTGCGTTCAGACGCAAATCGCGATGCGGGAAAACCGATTCGAAACCACCTCTAGAAGTGGCTTGGGATCGAGGCGCTTTCAATGTGATTTCGGAGCGTTCAGATGGAGCCACTTGAAACCGGCTTCGGGGTAAACCACATGTAAAGCGCCTTGGGTGACACGGCCTAAGAGACATGCACCAGCCGGCATGATAGGTGAGAGTGCCCGAGGGGAGCTCGAGTTGGTGCGGCTATGCAAGTTGGACAACTTTTTAATAGAGTTTGGTCAGAGTAGGATATAGACAGTGCACACGTCTTCTGCCTGCATGCTGTGGATACTGAACAGGCAAGTATTCTTGTGTGCACTATTATATCAAGTTTTGAGAGTTGGGGTGATGAGACTTGTCTTTTCTCCTTACAATGAGTTGTTAACTGGCTCAAGGGGCCTGTCCTACTCTCCAAGCAGAGGTTGTGGGGGAATGATCGTTACCTTTTTATATATGGCCGTTTTTTTTGTCCTGACCCCCACCAACCCGTCGGTGGCTGCGGAGCTTCTCTGGCTAATGGATACTGCCTGGCCAATTTGATACTGTCTTTTTTGCCACCGAGAGGGATCTGCTTGGAGATTAGGCTTGTCCCGGCTACCAGGCCTGGTGCTGACTCGTGGACACGTCATCAAAGTGTCCTTGGAGCGAACAAAAGACTGTATTGTTACTAGTATTCATCCTCAAACCGCTGTGCTTTTCCGAAAAATAGATTTGTTCATACTCCTGAAATACTGGTAGTCTCCACCAGATTCCTTTGCAGTCTGGATAAATTGTAGAAATCGTCCTACAAAGAAGGTTATATCAAGGACATTATACTACTACTAATAACCCGCCATGCATAGAGGGTCCAATTTGGCCGGCTAACTCCCCTGGTCAGTTACATTTATTGAATAGAAGAAGAACTTTATTGCACGACAAATGCACATGGTACATTGTATGGCAAACTACATAAAGAGAGTAAAAAACAATAAAATAAGTGTGTTGAATAAGACCTAATGTCGAATAAAACTTAACATATCTATATCATAATCATTCAAATAATAAGGGATATCACAAGTCGTTGATAAAGTGTTACAATCAAGTGGGCTAATCACAAGTTTCGGTATTTTTTCTAATAGCAAAGCATTCCTTTATATATCTACCTATTTTTGCGTTGTGGGGACCATTGCATGTAAAGATATATTCAAATCTGTCTCCAACATCGAGACTCTTAAAATCTATGGTACTTGATTCGAGAAATGTAAATAGCTTGTTACGTATAACATCATATTTGGTACATTCCATAACAACATGAAATTCATTTTCTATATGCTTTGGACAAAATGGACAGAACCTTTGGTCGGGGGCTATATTGTAATATCTACCTGTTTCAATATTCAATTTATGGCTACTGATTCTTAATTGAGTTATTGCTTTACGAATTTCGAAGCTATCTATATCACAGAGGTATGTTTCCTGGTCATAACAGTTTTTTAATTTACTAAGAAAAGACAGCTTAGAATTATTTCTAATGCAACTAAACCACTCTTGTATATGCGTATCTTGTAGCCGGTTGCGAAGATGGTGTGTAATATAATCTGCTTTATAAACTTCAGGTTTCATCCATATATGTCCAAAGCCGTGGTAGCTGAGAGTGTCTTTAACATGATTAATCCAGTCGTGGTCATCAGCAAATACAGTTTTGTATGCATCATGAAGCAGAGAGTCCTCAGGTAAGTTTATCAAACGGTGCCAGTATTTAATGAGCTGAATTTTAGCAGATATCATAATGGGGAAAGATCCTAATTCTCCTCGTACAGCGTTGTTGGATGATTTTGAATGGACTCCAAGAAGAAATTTTTGAAAACGTATGTCAATTATATCAAATTCTGGTATGGCGAAAGAGAGGCGTATGTTATTGATTGAAAAATTATCATTTTCTAGATTAAACCCAGACGCATAGACTGTATGTCCATAGTACATAGAATTAGCACTAGCTTGTACGTTGTATATATTCATTGCAAACTGTGACGTCTTTCCTGTGACCTGCACTGAACCCAGTGGGTATTTGCGTACTAATAAAGGTCTTCATTCATTCATTAATTGAGGACGATTTTTACTATTTATCCAGCCTGCAAAGAAGTCTGGTAGGGACTTCCTCTGAGAGTATCTACCAGCATTTTAAAGCATTTTTTTAAGAATCTTGTCCCTAGATCTTAGAATTGTTCTGACATTTTTACCGACTGCGGTTCTACAAACGTGTTCGACCAGATCGTAAAATACTGGGAGATCGGACCATTGCTTTTCACTGAGTATTTATTACTACGTACTTACCAACCTTGTCCTGGGGATTCGGGCACGATTCAATGCAATTACTTCGTAAAACACAGTCATTACATCCATCAGAGGGTTGGACTTTTGTTACTTTTACTAGAATTTCACGTGTTGGTTTGGAATACTGTGGATAATCAGCTGAACACTGAATTCTCTGTCAGGATTCTTTTGTGGTTATCTAATAATTAAAAAGGTTTACTGGCAGCGTAGAATACTCTTCATTCCAGGACAAAGGATATTGAAAAGAGTTTTCAACGCTTTTTAACGTTTGTAACCATTTCCCAGGCCAAACTAACGCCGGCTGAAGGTGAGAGTTGTCTGCACGACCTGCCGCCCTCAGGTCAGAACACGGCACGGATCAGTGATCAGGTCGGTTATCCACGTGTACTAACCGAGACCAGTGATTTATGGTGTGGACAGTGGAAGCTACTCTCCAAGCAGAGGTTTGGGTTTGGGCTTATTTGTGTCGTGTTTTTATGCTTTTTATCGGGATTCATTTTTTGGACTGTTGTTTTTTAAGGCGTAAAAAACTGTGCAAAAAAGGCCCAATAAAGAAGCATAAAAACACGACAAAAAACGAGAATTCGGAGATCTCATACCTCCACGAAATATGTAGAGTTTATGTAAATTGTTGGATTTGTATCATTGTATATGGAAGTAAGGTCGTAATTAACAGTTTAATTTATAGTGTTTTCTAAACTAAAATTACAATATTTTGCGTGAGGAATTCCTATCCTTTGGCAATATTTCATTTTAACATGTCCTCATTAATTATGCAAATGACCTCTACATTAACATAATATATGCATAGTGATGTTAATCTTTAAGTAACTTACACATGTGACAATGTATAAAATTCCCATCATTCACCATTAATAAATCGCAAAATTTTCACATTAATTATGCAAATTAGGTCATTATTTGCATAATTGGTATGGGTTGATGTTTCACCTGCCATAGATTACATACATCTCATGTATGAAAGTACTATCATGTAAAACACTGTAATTGCAGAATTTCCTACTTAATTATGCAAATTTAGCCTTCATTTAAATAATTTGCATTTAATTATGTACATCTATATATAAGCTACCTATACACAAAAAAATGAAACTACGTTGTTCCTTTCTTGACTAATCCGCTTAAAGTTTTTACCAGAAACTAACCTGCAGTTTCAGAACAAGCTGTTAGGGGGACAAAAGTTACACCACTTATTCCTGACAGGAAAAGCTATCCGTCACCAAAAATCCAAGACCATAGCTTATTCAGGACAAAAGATACAAAACCCGACAAAAACACACCAAAAACAATACCTTCATTTTTCACGGAGGTAATGATACCAGCTGAAGGTGAGAGTTGTCTGCACGACCTGCCGCCCTCAGGTCAGAACACGGCACGGATCAGTGATCAGGTCGTTTATCCACGTGTACTAACCGAGGCCAGTGACTAGGGTGTGGACTGTGGAAGTTACTGTCCAAGCAGAGGTTTGGGTTTGGGCTTATTATCTCCATGAAAAATGGCGGTATTGTTTTTGGTGCGTCTGTGTGTCTGTCTTTCTGTCTGTGTGTTTGTGTTTCCGGACATTTGCAGCCAGCATAACTTTTGAACCCTAGGATGGATTGTAATGATATTTGGTATGTGGGTAGGTGTTAGGTAGGCAAAGGTCAAGATCAAATATGGGCCTCCTGGTGGCTGACCTTGGTTCTGCAGCAGAATTTCCGTTTTTTGAATCTTTTGTCCTAAACATGCTATGGTCTTGATTTTTTGGTGACAGATAGGTTTTCCTGTCAGGAATAAGTGGTGTGGGTTTGGTCCCCCTAGCAGCTTGTTCTGGAACTGCAGGGCACTTTCTGGCAAAATGTTTAAAAGCCAATAAGTCCAGATAGGAACAACATATTCTCATTTTTGGTGTGTAGGTAGCTGAGAGAGAGTTGTACATAATTGAATACAAATTATGCAAATGAGGACTTAATTTGCATAATTAATGAGGACATTCTATAATTACAGTGTTTTATATAATAGTACTTTTATACATGTAATCTATTTAATCTGTGGAGGGAGGAATATCAATAGATACCAATTATGCTAATGATGACCTAATTTGCACAATTGATGTGAAAATTATGTGATTCCTCACTGGTGAATAATGGGAATTTTATACCCTGTGACATGTGTAAGTTTCTTAAAGGTTAACACCACGATGCATATATTATGTTAATGTAGGGTCATTTGCATAATTAATGAGGACATGTTGAAATGAAATATGACAAAGGAATTTTACGCGAAAAATATTGTCATTTGAATTTAGAAAACCATAAATTAAACTAGATTATGCTAATTATGACCTTATTTCCATTGTCAATGAGACAAATAAAAACATTTACAAATACTCATATATTTCATGGAGGTATGAAATCTCAGAATTCTCGTTAATTATGCAAATGAAGTCATTATTTGCATAATTTGTATCTAATAGTGTAGATCTCTAAGCTACCCACATACCAAAAATTATAAAAATACATTGTTCCTATGTGAAGTTATCTGCTATGAAAGATTTTGCCAGAACCCCCCTTGCAGTTCCAGAACAAGCTGATAGGGGGACCAAACCTACACCACTTATTCCTGACAGGAAAACCTATCTGTCACTAAGAAGTCAAGACCATATCATGTTCAGGACAAAAAAATACAAAAACCAGAAGTTCTGCTGCAGTACCTTTGTCTTTGACCTTTGTCTTCCTTACTTACCAACATACCAAATATCACAATCCATAAAGGCGTTCTGAAGTTATGCTGACTACAAATGTGCGAAAACACAAACACACAGACACACACACACACACGCCAAAAACAATACCTCCATTTTTCATGGAGGTGATAAAGCCAAAACCAAAACCTCTGCCTCTGGGAGTAACGGAAGCAACTAAATTTAAAGTGCAACACCGTGCAGCATGCAAGTTACCGCACCACCCTAAGCACGAACAGTGGGAGGGTTTATAGGCGCTACCAACAGATCCGGCAAACGGGTCTACACCTTTTCGGCCGAGCGGTTAGAGCGTCTGGTTATGAAGCTCTGGTGCCCGGGAGGTCGTGGGTTCAAACCCCGGCCCGGGACCAGTGGGGTTTTTACTGCTCGCCCCTGTTTCTTACAGTAGTTTAGTTTGTACTTATTGTGACTCTTCAAGGCTCTGACCAATTCGGTCAGTGCAAAACAGCTGTGTCTCTAATCTCCAAGCAGATCTTTCGGTGGCCGCAAAGACATCAGATCAAGTTTTGTTGACCAGGCCATTTGACAGGAAGTTTGGCTCGCGAAAAAAGATGCCAGTACAAAAAGAGAGCCTTATGTAATATAAAAATGCCCAAAAGTAAGCGGACGCCTAAACTTCTATCTGGAGAGCATTGTGTCTCAGCCGCCAGCCATCTTTCTGACATCTAATCAACTATGTGTTGCCACAGATTTAGAGGGATAGTAGCTCTTAACCAACAACAGAATGAAAACACTTGAAAACAAGAGTTCCACAATCTCATACCTTCGCCAAATGAGGTTAACCCTTGCGGGTGACGAATTATACAATTTTAATCATTGATTTTGTAAATAAGAGCCTCATTTGCATGGACTATGTCAGTTGATCATATTCTTCATCCAATGACAGCCTTATCATAACAAAAAGGCTATTTTAGCACTTCCTCATAAATTATGCAAATGAGGTCATGATTTGAATAAATTATGTTTGTTGATGTTCACCTTCACTTAACTTCCAAATGTGGCAAGTATGAAATTCGGGGTGCAGCAGTTACAACTATGAAATTATAAGAATTTTCCATTAATTATGCAAATTAGGTCCTCATTTACATAATATATATCCTCAGATGTTTTTCTCGTTCTCAAGTAGATGTCACAAGTGTTTCATAGTTCTGTTATCGAACAAAGCAGAGTTATAGAATTTCCTCATTAATTATGCAAATTAGCGCCTGATTTGCATAATTGCCATCTGATCATGTCAAGCATCACTTATACTACTTACATACCAAAAATCACGACAATACGTCAACCGGTTCTTGAGTTATCGTCCTTCAAATTTTTTTCAACAAATGCTCCTGCAGTTCCAGAACAAGGCGCTAGGGGACCCAAACTCACGTCACTTCTTCCCTACCACAAGAGATATCTACCAACCAAAATTCGTGACCCTAGCATGTCCAGAACATGAGATATCAAAACCGGCAGTTCAGCTGCAGTACCTAGGAAAGCCGCCAGGGGGCCCAAAATCTAATCATTTCTAGGTCTCATGAAGTCCTACCCACCTACCAAGTTTCATTCCAATCCATCCACTGCTTCTCGAGTTATCTTGCTAAACCACACACACACAAACACACATACATACACACACACAGACAAACGCTACTGAAAACATAACCTTCTTGGCGAAGGTAAAAAATATCTCACACGAGTATACACACGCATGTACATGTGTACATATATTTCTCTTTTCCAGAAATAACTGAGCTGAGAAGCTTCGTGATCGTACAGTGACTCACAAAATACAAGTTTCTTCAACCACAAACAAATGACAGGAAAATGTCCTGGAAGGCGGCCAAAGGTCCACTGCTGAACTTGTTGTGTACGATTCTCCTGGCTCTGTCAGCAGAATTCATGGCGCTCAGTCATATGGGAGGAATACCGGGATTCCAACTCCTGTTCTTACTCAGAGTTACCCAGTTTCTGACTGTTGTCGTGTTCGTTCCTTGCTTCTGTCCAAAACTTGTAGGTGAAAATCTGCGACAAAATCTCCAACTGTTTCTTTCGACGGTCGTCAACGCTGTTGCCAACACCTTGATGTACCTGTCCTTCACCTACGCCGCCCCTGGGATCGCGTTTGGAATCGTCCAAGGAACCGTGCCGCTGTTTACAACGTGTATCGGCTTTATCATCCTAAAGGAAACCGTGACTCTGATTCCATGTTGTGGGATTCTCATCAGTGTGATAGGCGTGGTTCTAGTCGGTATAGGGATGGGACACGAGGGTGCGGACTCCACCCAAAAACTCGTCATATCCATCCTCCTGCCCCTCGCTGCTGCCCTGGCCAGGGCGCCGGGCATGGTGCTGTCCCGTGCTGTTCTGAAGGACCTGCCCGGCCTGACGATCATGCTGTACTTATCCATGTTCGGGACAGCGGCACAGTTCATCCTGACCTACTCACTGGAGACTCCTGTGTGGACCATGTCAGCACAGACAGCCGGGTACGTGGCAGGGTTAGGTCTGACCCAGTCCCTGGCCACGCTAACCCTGCTGGGGGTACTGGACGTGGAGAAGGCAGCCATTGCTGTCGCCATGGGAACACTGGTGGTACCAATCACCATCCTCATGGACTACCTCTTCTTGTCCAAGGTACCGGTACTGCTGAAGTGGGTGGGGTTGTCTCTGGTGGTAGTTGGTACTGTGGTACTAAGCATTTACACGTGGTGGAAGCATCATCAAGAGGAAAAGCACAAAAAGCTACTGGATGAGTTGGACTTTTCAGAGAATTGAAACGTTCTATAGAAAAAACAAATCAGTTCACACATACAGACTGAATTAATTACCATAAGAACCACCGGTGTAACATAGCGGATCATGTGGGCTGAACATATCATATATGATTTAAGATACAGGATTAACTCTTTTGCTCTTTGAAATGTTTGACACACTTCATACAAAACTGTACATCTATAAATCAAAGACTTGTTTTGTCCAATCTCATTATTCTCTTGGGAAAATATTTTATATCTAAAAATCGACCTTGGCCACTTAACATAGAATCATTTATTTCTTATGTAACATATTACTTTAAGTTAGAAACCATTATTTCCAATCGGGTGGGCAAGACAAAAAAAAAACACAGGGGAAAATGGGGAAAGCTAATAGGTCTACTTTCATCTCATTGAAGAAATTATAAATAAATTGTAATTGGGGTTGACTTTTTTTTATACTTTGTAACACTCTGTTATATCATCTATATTGTTTACCGGTTTTTATTTAGTTTTGTAGTTATGCATGTGGTTTCATTTTGTTTCGTTGTGCCATACTTTCTTTTGTGTGAATTTTGGAAACAATAAAAAGAATGATTTATAAAAAAAAAGACTTGTTAAGTTAACGGCGTAAGTCAGGTTTAGTGGGTCCAGGTTTCAGGTCACATCTGTCATAATCTGCCGCAGAAGGACATTAGATACTAACATGGGCTGAAATCTGTAAGACATGGGTGTTTTTTTTATGGCGGGGGGGGTGAATATTAGAAATGGTGTTTTTGGGGGTGAAAACTGGTTTTGCCTTGTAGCCTTACTTCTGGGTAGTCTTCCACATCGTGTTATCTCCAAGCAGACCTTGCAATGCAGTATCAAACTGGCCAGACAGATGTCCAATACGCCACAGCAGCCAATGGATACAGGGATCTAATATAGTCTCCCCTTGCCCATGAAAACCTGCTTGGAGATTATTTCTGTGGCCCGCGTCTAAGCATTTGCAACATGCGCACCTCGCGCCGTGGATGATTATTATTAACAACAACAAAAAAGAAAAACAAACAAACAGTACTAGCATTTCGTTTATACTCGAGTCTAGTAAACACAAGGTTTGTGCCAACATCAGTCAGGAATCTTTTTTGTATGAGATTATCCTACGCGAAAGTTGTGTGAATTAATATTGGCTTAAAAATATTTTTTGTTGTTGTTGTTACCAAAGTTAAAGAAACAACACTCAGTCCGTCGATACATGTACTTATGTTTCGCTCCCAAATTTTTCCTCTGAAGAGGCGATCGTTAGAGTCGAGAGCGAAAAGCAAAATAAACTGGCCGTGCTGCCTTAAAACAATAAAACATGACATCTCTGTATGAAATGATACAAATAAACTTTTGAATAGAACGTATTTCCCCAAAAGCAACTGTCATGAATGTTCCTCCATGTGGGTCTCCGTTTTCATAATCAAACGTTCAGAAATACCTTGTGTGTCAGTTGCTTATTGATATGTCAGTTGCTAATTGATTTATGTCAGTTTGTAATTGATATGATATATGTGTCAGTTTGTAAATTGATATGATATATGTGTCAGTTTGTAAATTGATATGATATATGTGTCAGTTTGTAATTGAATTATGTGCCAGTTTGTAATTGATATGTGTGTCGGTTTGTAATAATTACAAACTGACACATATATCAATTAAATTATACATGTGTCAGTTTGTAATTGATATGATACGTGTCAGTTTGTAATTGATATGATATATGTGTCAGTTTGTAATTGATATGCTATATGTGCCAGTTTGTAATTGAATTATGTGTCAGTTTGTAGTTGATATATGTATCAGTTGCTAATTGATATATTGCTTCTATAATCAGTGAGTAGAAACCGTTCAAGGGTTTGGGGAAGGCAAAGTAGGTAATACTAAGATAGTGAGTATGGTCTTTATGGCATACTCAATCTCCAAGCAGATCATACAATGGCTAGGAGTATCTATTGGCCAGAGAAAGGATAATGGTCACTCCTCTGTCAAGTCATGGAATTCATTGGACAGTCATGAATTCTCATATGAAATTCAACTGTCTTGTGTCCATGAAACTTCCTACATTCAAAACAAGTGAATAATCAGAAAAAAAAACAATGTTCAAAGAGGTTTTAATACAGCCCTTCGTTTTGCAAGTACAATTTTACAAAGTATCATGCATGCTGATCGAGTGATGGTAAAATTAAATTATAGATAACAGGAATCTGTGGAAAGCTACAGACTTGGGATGTATAATACTAGTAGCAATGCATATAATGTTACATGTACATGAAGATGACAAGGATATTCATACATCAGTGTTTACATGTATTAGAAACATATATTGATCATGGACAACTTTCTGTCTTAAGAAGCAAGTTTGAATTGTAATTTCCAACAAAAGAAGTTGGACTCACCCAAAGTTTAGACTGTACAACTCTAGTTTTTGTCAAGTAACCAGCAGTCTACCGCTTCCATGACACCACCTTATGCAGATGACACACGTGACTGGAAGAGAAGTGGATCATATACATGTATGCTGCAGACACGGGGATGGTTGCAATGCCCTGATCTACATGTAGATAATTCAAACTTACTTCATAATGACATCTGCCAACACAGATGAACTTTCCAGATACAATCTAACAACTATCTGTGTTTTTTGTCCCCTGCCATGGCTCTTCTCTTCTGCTTCATGGCTCTGCGTGCTCCCTGGAAGGCCTGCTCTCTCTCCTTCTTCAGCCTGGTCTTCAGGATCTGGTCTGTAGACCTGAGTTCTGAGCGAGGTCGTCTCACTCCTCCCTGGTTCCTCTTCTGACCTGACGACTTGTCCCTGACAAACTTGTCCCCTCCTCCTGTCCTGTCTTTTCCTGGGTAAAAAAAATGAATATAAAGATATGAATTTTTAAATGATGGAACCTTTTGTGAACAGTCACCTACAGTACATCTATACAGATAAGGCCACACCAATGTAATTTCTTGGTTAACGGATTTTTCTAGAAAAATAATGGAGGGGGCGGGCGACAAAAAATTTAAAGATAAAAACAGACCTAGGCATCCTATTATGTCCCAAAATGGTACAACAGAAGTCAACACACCAGGCTGGTTCAAAATTTAAACAATGAATTTTGAACTTTTAACAACTAGGATGAAAAGGACTGTTTTCAACTGTTCAAGGCGATTCTGAATTTTTATTTTTATTTGCAAATCAGAAAAAAATGAAGCGGGCCAATCCGTTAACCAAGAAATTAAATTGATGTGGCCTTAATGATTTTTTAAAAAAGGTAAATGTCTTCTGCTATTTACTGTGTAGAGTATACTTCGGTGCTCAGGTCTTTTCCTATAATTTATAAATAAAGGCATATTATTTAGTTTATTCAGCTTGGTGTTAGAGGAACTGATTTTTTAAGTATCCTATATAGAAGACAAAATGACAGATGAGTTGAAATACTAATTAAGCAAAGGGACGGACATCAATATTAGCATTCTGATATCTTTGTGTATAAAAATATTAATATTATCCAAACAAATTGATATAGAAAAGAAATTATCACATTGAAAACCTGGGGTTTGAATTCTTTTATAGAACTGGATGGAAGTATGGTACACATGTAGGTACGTGTAAATCAGAAGACAAAATCATTGCTGTTTTGCTTCTCACCTATTTTCTTGCGCTTCCATTGCTTTTTCCCCTTCCCCCATTTCTGCCCAGTGGACTGTTCCTGCCCTTTCTCCTCCTCCTCCTCTCTCTCCTGCTCCTTCATTTTGCTCTGCTGCAACCAACGCTTGTATCTGACATGTCAAAGGTCAAGGTTCATGACCTGCAGATTGGTGTATTTTTGACGAGTCCCAACATCCCTGAATCAGGTGACGTGGCTGGGTGTCCGATACATTACCATATGACTGAAAAGCAAGCAGATATCAGGAAGGAAAGGCTGGCTGAAAGAAGTGGCCCAATTCTTTACCACACATGTCTGCTAATAAATTCTGATAAAATAGCTCAAAGTCTTCTTTATTAGAAAGAGCCCAAACTAAATTCACGGTACTTTATGTTTATGGTTTATATGATCACTTCTGTACAGCTAACTCATCATTACTGTTATTGAATCATTAATTTTGTCTTTCATCCCATCACCCTTGTGGCCACCACTGTGAAGATTATGGAGGCCCTGCAAGGGGGGGTCCCAACAACGCTCTACGCTGAATTAGGAAACCTCTCGATTATGCTTTACGATAAATTCCAAGTGGCTACAACGCATTACGTGGAATTAAAACGCCGAGTACGCTCAACGCAAAAATATCAGAGCGTTCCGTCTACGCTCTACGTAGAATTAAAATGGCCTATTATGCTCTACGGAAAAGGGCTTGCGGGCCCCCATTATGTTCTGTGAACATGTTCATTTTCCATGAAATGTTGCTACCAAGAAGACAAAGTGAATAACAGTACACTTCAAGAGAACTCACTGTAAATACAAATTGTGTAAATCCCTACAATAATCATTGATAAAGGATACGAGTCAGTCTTGAATGAAGCCGACACCCAGGTTCCACTCTCTGTCTTAATTTTCTTCTTCTTCAAGTCTATTCCCTCCTTCACATACTTCTTCTTTTTCCTATCCCTGCAAAAAATCGTGCAATCATGACGTGTTAAAACAAACAGTATGCAACATCCTTTCTTATGTATCTGTATGGCTGGTATAACCACCCTTCATATATAGCCGGTATAACCACCCTTCATAGCCGGTGTAACCACCCTTCATAGCCGGTGTAACCACCCTTCATAGCCGGTATAACCACCCTTCATAGCCGGTGTAACCACCCTTCATAGCCGGTATAACCACCCTTCATAGCCGGTATAACCACAGGCACGCGGCTCGGCGGCAGCTGGCTACGTCACTCTGAATGACTTGTTACGCCTAACCTTAAAAACATCTAACTCTAAACATTGTTTAAAGCTATCTAATGATAATGCCCCTACTGTACTTGGTGACAGCAAGTTTCACTCTGCAATACTGCCGATAGTTCTAGGAAAGGATTTAGTGTTTGAACACTTGGTTGATAACTCTGGTACTTGAAGGTATGACTACTGGTATTCCTTGTTGTTCTTGCAATACTTATGTGTGCATTGACAAGTGCACGAATCCATGTACATGTACTAGTACTCCAGGGCTGGCTATATCACCCAACGTACCAGCCCGACTGTGGATCAGATCACCTACGGCTCGCTGGAGGGCTGGGACTCATATATATATAGGGTGATGGAGAATACAATGATGGTGTCGTTTTTATCTATGTCAAACCCACCATATGTAAAACATGTATTTCAATGCAAAACATGCCAGCATTTGGTTTTCCAAATTAAACAACATCAATTCAAATGTCCAAATCTGGTCTTCATATTTTTGAAAGCAGCACACTCTGCACTCATGAAATGTTCTATAGAAATTTGGAAGCCTGTGTGATATATATAGAATACATGTACAACACAGGGTATTCCGTATCGCCCGAGGTATCGGCCTGCGGGAGGGCCGGGACTGAGGGCGATGCGGAATACACCGTGTTGTATTTTATTTATGTCATACCCACCCAAGAAAACACGCCTTTCAATGCAAGATGAGCCAAAAGTTGTTGCCACTAAACCCTAAAATGCAACAACATCAATTCCAACGTCCGGATTCTGTATTCGAATTTTCGAAAGGGGCGCACGCGGTTAGGGCGAAACGCATTTGAATCGTATTATGGAAGCCGTGGAAGCGTTCGATAACGAGTTCCGGACCGGGCCGTACTGTAAAGTACGTAAAGTACTGTAAAGTACGGCCCGGTCCGGAACCCGTTATCGAACGTTATCGCGGCCCTGGGTATGATATAAGGCTAGTTATCATACAGGTTGGAATACCCATATCAAAGGTTATCATGGTCAAGGTATAAGATACTATTTTACACACACCTTCATCACCTTCAAAGCTAATCTAATCTTGGCAGTAGTTTATACACATCAGTTAATTATGCAGTCTGTATTGATGAGTCCAATGTTTAGGACTAGTGTGGATATCATGCCCGTAGCCAGGGGTTCGGAAGAACCCCCCCCCCCACAAGGCTCAAAGGTCCACTTTTTGGTCCACTTTTTATGTAAAAGTCCACTTTTCGGTCCACTTTTTATGTAAAGGTCCAAGATTTTTATTGAAAAGATAGACTGAAATCGTAGAAAAACTGTTCCGTTTGACATTGAACAAAAATTCATCTCTGATTTTTTGTTTGAAATCCTCTCAAAAATGCACGAAATGCCATTTTAGAAGGTTAATTTTTGAAAATTTTCCAGGGGAGCATGCCCCCGGACCCCCCTAGGAACCTCTCGAGGTCCCTTCAAGCAGTGGGAAGAACACCCCCCATTCAAAATCCTGGCTACGGGCATGGATATTTCAGTCATTAAACCAAAAAGAAGAAGAATGAAGTAGAGGAAGTTTACCACTTGAGTTGGTTCTTCTGCTGTTTTGCTTTCTCTGCCTCATCTGCTGCCAGATCCAACATGGCGTCTGAAGCCTGGACTTGGAAGGAGCTCTCCAACCCAAGTCTGGGGGGGAGAAGAAAGATCATCATTCATTTATTGACCCAAGCTCATTGATTAACCAAATATGGCCTGAACTCTTATTTTGTAATTAACACATGTGCAACTGCTAATAATCCAATTGTTATTGGGCTAAGGCCCAGGAAGAACTAGCCTGAGTGTCAGCCTTGTTAGCTTTCGTCCGCTAGTAGCGGACAAAAGCTAACAAGGCTGACACTCAGGCTAAGGAAGAACATGTTGTGTTTCTGGTTTCCTGACCGATCCTAGAAAAAAATAGAAGAAAGACTTTTTTGTGTGGACAACAAACTGCAAGGGACATAATTTTTCAAGCTGATCAACCTAGACTAGCTCCATGATCTGACATCTGAGTAAGGAGGTGCTGCACAATCGGTTTTCCAACCTTGACATTGAAAATATAAGTGTACTCATCCAAGTTTTACTTTGTTAAACTGTAGTGTATAATTGATGCAATAGAGATTGCCAAAGTCTAATAAATAAAAAAAGAAAGAAAGAAAAATAGATAATCCCTACCTAATTTTTTCAGGACTGAAACAGGAAACACAACTTTAACATTTATTTTTCCTAGGGCTAAGCAGTACGAAGGAAGAATGGTACATGAAGTGTTACTGAGTGTGTAAAACTAGCAGCAGTACAATGACATGTATGTACCCTTTCTCTGAGTGGTGGTCCTGAGGTCTGTATGGTAAGAAATGCTCCTCGTCTCGGAAGTCTTGTTTCTTTTTCTTTGCCACCTTCTCTCCCTCAGCGGGATGTTTCCTCTTGTGTCCGGGGGCTACAACTGTAGAAAATGTCTCCTACAAACACAGGTCTGAGGTTAGAAAAGGGTTGGTGGAAAAAGAAGTCCAGTCCGATTGGCGGAAAAAGCAGTCCAATCCGATTTGGGGGTGGAAAAAGCAGTCCTGTGGTTTCTACAAAATTCTACGAAAGACCACAGGAACATTTTTTTTTGTGTGAGTGTACTTCGAGGCCTAGGCATCCTATTATGGCCCAAAATGGTACAATAGGAGCCATGAAGTCAACACACCAGGCTGGTTCAAAATTTAAACAATGAATTGTGAACTTTTAATGATACCACTGCATTGAAAAATGGAATAACTGTTACAACTAGGATGAAAGGACTGTTTTCATCTGTTCAGGGCAAAATATGAGCATTTTGCAGTTGATTCTGAATTTTCATTTTTATTTGCAAATCAGAAAAAAATGAAGCGGGTGAATCCGTTAACCAAGAAATTAAATTGGTGTGGCCTTAGGTTGAATAAAAAAAGGGAAAATTAACTTTTGAAAATAACTAACGTATGGTTTGCAAACATAGAACAAAATATGTGTGTTGGATAGATCAGATTCAATGTGCAATCAAAGTCAATAAGAAAAGATGCTTGTATGGTGTCTTTGGGTGAAGGATAAATGTTTAAGTCCTTCTGATTCTAAAGAACACCACATGACTGTCTCCCATCCGTATAACTGTCCATGCTACTACAACAGGCAGGACAGCAAAGTAAATGGGAAAAATACACTTTTAACAAATCCTTGTATTTTCTATGTAATTACTATCCATTTACAAATGTATGTACTAGTACTCATTTTCACCTGACTGAAGTGAGGAAAGTCGTGTACAGTGCCTTCCACAAGGGCACAACATTAGTGCATGTTGGTGGATTTGAACCCAGGACCTTTGGGGTCTGGGCCAAACACTCTAACCATTATGCAACAATCCCACTGTTCTATTGTTCTTTAAGGCACAAGCCCAAGACATACATGAATGTATCATCATCATCCTTGTCAGGTCGGGAGTTCCTAGAGGCCATCTCCCTCCAGTCTACTCTGTCCTAGTACATCTTAAAGATGTTTTTTTTTTCAACAGTGTCACTCAATGCAAGGCCAATTATTTTTAGCCACTACTAGGCATAGAGCTAGAGGTACTTATTAATAAGTGAGTATAAACTATAATGTAGTTATGTCAGGAGATGGCGGTGGACCTTTGTTTTGAAGCTTTGTGGATTGTAATCGGATGGAAAGCAACTGTTTGGAAGACAGTTCCATAATTTTGCAGTTCGGGGTAAGAAGATGTTGTTGTAATATGACTTGGAAACAGGTATGTTGATGGTGTATTGATGAGAACTGGAGAGAACCTAGTGGCACGCTGAAAGGTTCTGAGCGGTGGAACAAGAAGTGCAAGTTCTCCTGAACATCGACCGTGAAAGTATCTGTAAAAGAGGGATTCTTACCTCAATATCCTGTTCTGAGGTCATTTCTGTGTTGCTTGCATGCTGAGCAGCGCCCCCTACTTCCTGTTTGCTGCTTCTCTGGTCCTGCAGGCGTCGGATGACTCCCTGGTGAACACTTCTCTTACTCTTCATCACAGAAAACGCAGGGTTCTTATTGGTCGCACTGATCTCAAAAATGGTCTAAGTTGGGAAAAGATCAATTCATATTAGATAGGTTAGATATTCTAAATTACCATAAAATAACAAACTAATATTTTGTGCATGTAAAAACTATCAGATACTAAAATAGAAAAAATACCATCATGGTATTCTATTCTATTCTATTCTATTCTATTCTATTCTATTCTATTCTATTCTATTCTATTCTATTCTATTCTATTCTATTCTATTCTAATCTATTCTATACTTCTAATATATCCACTGTTTGTAAGACCCTGTCTCCTGTGACCATGGCAGTCTGGAGGCCATGTCCATAGAAGACACAGTCATGTTCATTGATATCTCCCACCCGTATAACTGTCAGTACCAGGGACGGGTATGACAGCAAAGATAGTGGGAATACATACATTTTACTGCTCTTGTGGCATTACAGTAGATACAGTAACTATAACTAGACATACATTGTAAGTGTTTCACAACAAACATGTACACATGTATATGTATATAACTGTGTATGTCAGCAATCAAAGTCAAGGTAACGTTACCAGATTTAACGGACAGATCTAACATTCAAGTTTGTTAGTTTTATTAGTGTTACATAATTCAGTTTCCCACTATTCTTTGTGGAGGTGGCGGATATAAAATTAAATAAATGTAAAGAATTAAATCAAACGAGGTAAACTTAAACTTGTGAAACTAAGCTCCACCAGTGTTACATGTTAGAACATGTTGGTGAAACAGGACAACTCACACTGTTGGGTTTGTAGTTCCTCACCCCGTCAACAAACTCTGCCAACTTGTCCTCTACTTCACTTCTATCTGGAACTAAAGTACACATGGAAGAAATTAATAACATGGCATAAAAACCTACGACTAACTGTTCACCAAGTCACATGTGTCAGCAATGCATATATTAAGATCACAGAAGCAAAGGATTGCTCATTTCATTCCTTGACAAAGACTGGAGTTGTAAAGTCAAACTTGCTTCAAAAGAAGACATACGTACAGTTAGTAATTGAAACAATAACTAGAGAGGCCGACATTTGCTTGGGAGCAAATACAGCATATTTCAGTCCATCTCCCTCCCACGCAAAAGTGGACTTTTCCAAACTTACCCCAGTGTAAAACTGGCAAAGATTCTCAAATAAATGAATTATATACAGTAGTAGTAGTAGGTATGTAATTGCGAACAAAGATGCAAGATCAAGCACATTGAATCTCGAAAGCTTTACTAGTCTTATTACAGGTATGCAAATACTAACAATGATGAGATTTGATACATTTTGAAGGTCTTAGGCACATAAAATTGAATGTGTGGGTCATTCCGCATGGCTTACGTGCAATGTGACCTCAGGTAACCCGCAATGGAACACGTGTTCCATGGATGGAACCGGCCATTCTTTAGATAGAACATGGAACGGGTACAGCACTTTTGGCCCTTTTTTTGCTGAAAATAGCCATTAAAGTCCTCCAAACGAGTCATTTGCAAGTGGTGTATGCCAAATATGTGACTGCTATTCTGTAGACACATGTTCAAGGTACCCTTATACCGAATTTCAGATCATTTGGTTGTAAAACCAGGGCTCAGGATCCAAAAATCCATTTTTTGGCAAAAAATGCCCCAAAAAACCTTCATAAAAATTTTTCAAAGGCATGTATCAAAAAATGAAAAAACGCCTGGGGGTATTGGCCCACTCTACCTCCATGCCAAATTTCAAGTCATTTGGCCGAATGATGGCGGAGTTGAATCCTTTTGACTGTTTGGCAGGAGGAGAAGGAGGAGAAGGAGAAGAAGAAACACCAGAGAACACAATATATTTCATCCATACCATGGTATGGACTGAAATATAAAGACTAGGGGTGAGCAAAAGTGGCTAAAAGTTGTCTTGAGAAAGACTGCGTTATTTGGGCAGTGTTATGTACAAAACATTTAGCATTGCCATGATGCAATTCCTGACATATTTACAGTGATTATAGTCTGAGATGTTTGCTGTGACAAGTTTGACTGTATTTCACCATGTCAAAAACACAACTCTGAGATCGTTNAAGAGATTCATTTGTCACGTATAGATACAGTTACTAGTGAATTCTTTCATCAGTGGCAACTTGGAAGGATAAGGATACTGACCTCCAAATTTTCGATGTCTATTAGGGAGTTCCCAACCTTCACAGTTGGAAGGTGCCAAGCTAAACCGGACAGAAGGTTGGGAACTCCCCAAGACTTACTTACCCTTACTCCGGAGGGAGGCAGCGGGGGGTGGGACCCGGCAGACCGATGCAAGTCTCGGGCCTAGTCTCGCGCTCTCGCGAGATTAGGCCACTCAGTGAACAAGATGGACTGATAGCCATCGAAATTTTGGAGGTTAGTATCGATTATCCTTCCAAGTTGCCAGTGAAAGAATTTACTAGCAACAACTCTGAGAGTTATAGAACATCTTTACCCAGTACTGGGTGGAAGCCCATGTGTGCTGTGTCCATTCCCTTCATGCGTCTGACTGACTCGTGTGAGGGGGCTGACCGTGACTTGATATAGGCGCTGTACCCCCTGTCTGCCACGCGCCGCAGACTGACCAGCTCCAGACATGTCTCCATGTACACACGGATGTTAGCGTCCTCATCATCCAGGATAGACTGGGGAACTTTACCATACAAACCATCCCAGTCTGCAACAAAAACAGTCAAGTGGCATTAGGCAACATTTTTGCACAAAAACTGAAATATTCTATCTAAAATCTTCATGTAATTGTCATTTACATCCACTTTCAAGGCTCGAATTACTGGGCGCAGTGTTAACAGTCGGGGGTTTATAGGCGCTACCAACAGATCCGGCAAACGGGTCTAGACCTTTTCGGCGGAGCGGTTAGAGTGTCGGACTGGTGCCCGGGAGGTTGTGGGTTCGAACCCCGGCCCGGGACCAGTGGGTTTTTATCTGTGTCTGCTGGCTTCTCCTGTTTCTTACTGCAGCTTGGTGCACCCACATTTGGAGCTGTGCACCCAATTCTTTTCTGTGGGTGCACCAGTGCACCCAAATATTTTTGTAGGTATTTTTGTACATATCAAACCTGTAATAGTATACAGTCAGGATATTCTTGGCATCTTAGTGTCAGAAAATTTAATAATATCTTTGTTGTAGTAAGCTTGTTTAGATTTTGAAATTAGCTCCCAGTAAGATCTGCAATTAGGTTTTGTTTTATAAGGTGCACCCCAAGTTTTTTTTGTGCACCCAATGTTTTTGGTTGAGTGCACCAGTGCACCTATTCCCAAAAATGAATTTCGAGCCCTGACTTTTCAACATATATTCTCAAATGTCTGGTTTGCAGTAAAACAGCACACAACGAACTTCACTCAGTTTGTGGTACCACCACAAAATACCAGTCGTAAACAAACATAGCTGACAGCTGTGTTTTCAGTTTTTAAACACACCCATAAGGTGAAATATTTTGGTACCTCCACTTCCTGAATGGCGCTTATTTACAATGGAGTAGGGTTGATTCAACTGACTTTGTAAAGAAATGACCAGATAAATTGGCTTTTTGTATCATTCTAATGTTACATAATGCAGTTTTAAAAGGACATTCTTGAGACAAATAAAACAAATTTATGGCAAAAGTTACTAAAGAGAGTAAGTTAATACAATATACAAACTAGAAACTAACATTTGCAAAACAAATGCATAATGTTTACCTTCACATATGGTCTGTTAATTCTTACATTCATATAGGTCAGATCAGAGGTCAGTGGTTGGAATGAAAGAAGAAGAAGAAACATAGCAAAAACAATGTTTTCCTTCGGTAAACATAAAAAGTTGAGGGCATCATTAATTAATTTGACTGACCTAATGAAGTATATTAACACTGCTGATATCTGTACCTTCTGTTGTGTTGTCCTTGCCTGCGACCTTGACTGCCCTCCCCAGGAACAGGTGCAGGTCTAACATGAAGGGTGTCTCGTCTGGAGCCACCAGGGAGTAGGCTGTACCTGACCTGCCGGCGCGCGCCACTCGGCCTGGGAGGGGGAGAGGGTGGAACTGCTTTCAATCCAGGTCTAAGTTTCTTCTTCAATTAAAAGTCTGTTTTAGATAGCTGATAGTGTAATGCAACTTCACTTCAACTAGCAAATTTAGGCAATCACACTTGGTCACCCCTACTGTTCCAGGGCAGTGTTACCTTTTACAGAATTTGTCATCTTCTCGTCCGCTGGCCACTGTTCCTGTGCATCTTTCCCCGATTCCAAGCACCCACATATTGAGTCCAAATCAGTTCTTCTATGACAAATTCTGACACAGCATTCAAGATGCACAGGAACAGTGGCTAGCAGATGGGAAGATAGAGGATCAGCTATCAGCATTGAACGTCATGGTAATGACAAAGCACATTCCTACACAAAATGCTTGTCCAGTGTCTGTCATGAAAGGAGAAATGTTAACTTCCTTCCAAATATACAGAACACCACATGACTGTCTCCCATCCGTATAACTGTCCATGCTACTACAACAGGCAGGACAGCAAAGTAAATGGGAATATAATCTAATTATATATTTAACAAAACAAATTAGCTTTTCCATTCCATTATCAGGTCTGTACAGCTGTTATCTGTACATCAAACTATTGACATTTCCTCCTGTATTAATTGAATCAAGTTAATTGTAATACTTATCTTGACATTTCGCTGTCACAGTATGATTGCTCACTACAGGTCTACTAGCTCCAAAAATTTCAAGATTGTACCAATAAACTATCTTGTTGGCAGAATGTAATGTGCCTGAGTGTGTGAAACCATATGATGTATCCTGTATAGCACTTCGACAGAACATTTTGATAAAGGTTGAATTTGTGTACTTAAGGTTTACATTCTGTCTGTAGTTTTCAAATATAGTGTTGGAAAAGATATTGTCTACAAATGGCAACATTCTGATGCGGCATTGACCAAACATCCAATGAAACTGTGTAAAACATGGGGTATGCACAGGACCAGTATGTTCTGCCAACGTGCAACTAATACTATACATATAGAATACAACACGGGGTATTCCGTATCGCCCGAGGTATCGATCCGACTCGCGGGAGGGCCGGGAACGAGGGCGATGCGGAATACACCCTGTTGTATTTTATTTATGTCATACCCACCCAAGAAAACATGCCTTTCAACGCAAGATGAGCCAAAAGTTGGTGCCACTGAACCCTAAAATGCAACAACATCAATTCCAACGTCCGGATTCTGTATTCAAATTTTTGAAAGGGCACACGCGGTTAGGGCGAAACGCATTCGAATCGTTTTACACATGTATGGAAGCGTTTGTTAACGGGTTCCGGACGTACATGTAAAGTACGGCCCGGTCCGGAACCCGTTATCGAACATTATCGCGGCCCGGGTATGATATAAAACTCTGTATAGAACATAAGAAAAAGCCTTCCATACCGACTCTGTGCACAAAGAGCTTAGGTTTGCAGGGAAAGTTGTAGTTGATGACGTTATCCAGCATGGGGATGTCTATCCCACGGGCAGCGATGTCTGTCACTAACATCACCCTGGTCTTCTTGTGGGAGAACTTAGCGATGTTGATCTTCCTGGCTGTCTGATCCAGTGAGCTGTACACAGCACTGCACGCCACTCCTGCACAGGTCAGTAACTGGGGAGGAGACACACCAGGTCATGAGATATGCAAGAAAATAGTTATCAATATGAAAGTTCCTCTGTGTTGGTAGTTACATGTTTAAAGTTAAAACTTTTGGTCCAACACTGAACAAGACTATTTCTTGATAGGGGTGAAGGAAGCCATATACATCAGGACATCTTGGTTCTGAGTCGAGCACTCTGCAGCTATGCCACACGACCCCACGTCTAGGAGGAAATCTTGGTACAAATCAATTCTACAGGTAGAAGGTTAACCAACTGTGAGGTCGTGTGGCGTAGCGGCAAAGCGCGCGACTCGGAACTAAGAGTCCCGGGTTCGAGTCCTGACATGCCATCGATTTGTGCCCTTGGGAAAGGCACTTTACACGGCTTTCCTGACTTAGCTCAGGTGAAAATGAGTATTGTATTGTCCCATGTTGGTGGCGGCATTAATAGAAGTTGAAGAAACTGGACTGTGTCGTCACCACATCTGTTGATTACATGTTGGAATAAAAAAAAGGGGGGTTAACCATACCCACCTCCTTCACAAACTCCACGTGGTGTTTAGTAGCCAGGAAGACGACGGTCTGTTCCTCAGGTTTCACCACACTCCTCAGCAGGTGCAGCAGAGCGGCCGGCTTGTCCGCATCACGCAGCGCCAGGAACGACATCTGCAGCTGTTCACTGATCTTAGTGTCCACGTCCAGTCTGATGAGAGTTGGGTCATTCAGGCCTGGTGGGAACAGCAGGGGAAACTGGGTCACTTTTGTACTCTTACTGTGAAGTGGGAAACTTTTGTAGTACTAGAATTTTTGGCGACGTCTCAGGGAGGAGCCTAATGGTACAGTATTGTGTGCAATTTGCAAGAATTCTAGGAATTGTACAGGCATTTTGTCCACAGGAATGGAATGTCCACAGGCATGTCTCTTACCCACATCTCTGCCCACATTCCTGGAAACCCTTGGGAAGACCCAGAAGACCTGTCTGCCACCAATGGCCCTACTTTCTGTGACCCCGGGGCTCGTTCACTATACACACAGGGGAGGAGTGCACTGTATCTGTCTTGCTCAAAATCATGAAATGATGGCAGTGCCATGCAAACAATAACCCTAACAGCAACCACCGTCGCCATGGCAATGTATGTTTTCATTACTAGTCTTGTTAACTCTGTAGTTTTCTTTCATGACAGTGCAAACACTTGACGTATGTGTATGGCAATGGTACTAACTGTAACAGCAGTAGAATGTACTGTGCCTGCATGAAACCTGTGGTGTATTGTGCAATACATGTAGCATCTTGTTAAGGTAGTACTGAATTCCACATATTTAAGGATGACATCCCATCAATAGATTTATAATGCTGTGTCAGAAAAGATATCGTCTGCAATGGTTCAAATTCTGATCCAACATTGGCCAAACAGCCAAAGGAAACCATTTTGAAACACTTTCCCTTCTACCACAAAATAAGACCATGTACAGATACCACAAAATAAGACCATGTACAGAATATAATGGTTCAAAAGTTGTGACGGATTTAGATATGTCCAACGTATGCTTATATGCTACAGAATGAAGGTCAAATTAATTCAAAGATCAAATAATCAAAATCAAACTCAGAGAAAGAAACTGACTCTATATTACAAGAAAAATCAATTTGTCTATTTTGGTGACAATTTTTACACAGGTCTCAAAGTTTGAACAAACAAAACTTCATCTCACACATACAAACAAACAAACAAACAAACAAACCTGCTTGTGCAAACTGTACGAGCAGCTTGGGCAGCGTGGCAGAGAACAGCAGAGTTTGTCGTGCCTCGGGAAGACGGCCGATGATCTCCTGTAACTGGTCTGCAAAACCCATCTCAAACAACCTGGCAACATGTGGGGGGAAGAAGAATTTATTTGTAACTGTTGTTAGTTTACCGTAAAATAATTTCATCAGGTTGGTAAACGAATTAATAGCAAAGTTCTTTGATCACAACCATTTGTTTTTCATGAGCCGACATTTCGATGACCGTCTGTCATCTTCATCAGGGCAATTCTGACTGGTTTACTGTGCACTGTGAACTATGTAACACCTTTAGTGCACTATGCACCAAGTAACATCTAGCGTCAGTGCACAGTAAACCAGTCAGAATTGCCCTGATGAAGATGACAGAAGGTCATCGAAACGTCAGCTCGTGAAAAATAAATGGTTGTGAAGAACTTTGCTATTCTGTTGTTAGATTAGCTTTGGTACCTTTTCAACTGCAGCTTTACATGAGTTGGCATGATATTGAAACAATTACCTGTATCATTACCTTCAGATGTTAGCCATGAAAATTGCAAGACATTTCACAAAATGAAACACTACTTGTCTGCCTATAGTCATTGTCAGTCATGCAAGCCGCTCTGCGTTGGACTCTTTCTAGTGTTCCTGATATTCTATGACAAATGTGACACAAGGTAAAATGTTTGAGCTGTTCTGACCTGTCAGCCTCGTCAAACACGACGTACTCCACCGTCATCAGTTTCTGTTCCATCTCCACCAGAACATGCAGCAGGCGGCCGGGCGTGCCGATGATTCTGGCAGGAAACACACACGTACAAACATTCAAACCTGTTCAGATCTTTGAAACATTCAAATCTCAGAGCTCTTGAACAGCAAGATTAGAGGCTTAGACTCTCATCATCATCATCATCATGCCTCCGGATTATAAATCCAGTGAGGTACACTTGATAAAGTTACTCCAGTATTTCCTGTCTCTCATAGCAGACACTAATGCAGTACCTGCGAGACCAGTGTCTCTCTCTAGCATGGACAAAAGTGTAGTATTAGGACGTCCCACTCTACATGTACATCTCCCAGTAGGAAGCCACAGTACTGAGTCTACCAACTGGTTCGCTACTACGAACAACGTGCCCTGCCAGGGCAAGTCTACATCGTCGGACTACAGATGAAATGGGCGGGAGAGACTCTTAGACTCTGTAAACTGGGCATTTACAATTACAAACTATATATGAGTAGTTGGCTTCTCGTATCATTCTGGTAGATACAGTCTCTAAAAATTTGAAGCTGAAGGTAATTGTTCCTATCGTAAGTATGTGCAGGTGTTCTTTTTAGCAGATAAAGTAATTAAGTGTAAGAGTAATTAAGGGCCCCACGTGTTTCTGTCTGCATGCCCATATTTGGGCATGGCGCTCCTCTCCCCATGCCCAAATATGGTCAAACTCCAAATATGGTAACGCACACTGCTACAGTACAATAACATTATACATACATGCTACAGTATATTTCCTATAACACAGCAAAAAAGTCCAAATAAAACCATTCTAAAATCCTGTATCAAAAAAATGAAAAAAAGACCTGCCTGGGGGTATTTGCCCACTGTACCTCCATACCAATTTTCAGGCTCCAAAATGAAGAAGTTGAATCCATTTAAAGAAATGGTAGGAGAAGGAGAAGAAACATCAGGAAAAACAATATGTCTTCATCACTACGTGGTGTTGGTGAAGCCATAATAATGAGAAATCACACTTACATGTCTGGGTTCTCATGTAGAGCTGCAAACTGATCTTCCATGCTGAAAAAAAGAAAATATCAAATACTATAGAGGAGACACAACTTTGATTTTACTGTAATATGTTTCCATTATAGCAAGGCCTAAGAAAATTAGTGTTGTGTTTCCAGCTTCTGTCCTGAAAAAAAAACTAGGGTTGGGAGGTAGGTATTTGCTTTTTTTCTTTTAAGTCTTTTTTTTTAGATTTTGGCTAAAATGATCCAACAAATTAAGTTAAACAATGTATTAGGACTGTCTTAAGGAGCTGTCCAACTGTTTGCTTGTGACACTTACTAAATTACTGAAAAGAAAATTGCTTCTTAAGATGACAATTAAGAATTCAGAGGGTTTGAAATGTCAAATAAAACTTTATAGCCATCAGCAGTCAATAAAAAAACCCTAGGGTCAGCTGGTTTTTGCTAGAGTTGGTCATGAAACAGGAAAAGCCTGTGTTGAAACTCTTGCAATCATCAAAGAAAAGTAATATTCCAGATGGATTTTCCTATGTTTTTAGCAACAATCTATAGACATCTGCTGACATCAATTGTCAAATATGCCCCAATAATTCAGTGATTGTAGCTGCAATGGCATATTATAATGTTACCTTATTTCATTGAAATAAACCTGTTATTCATTCATCTCATTCAATTGTTTACTGAGATGACAATTTTAGAGTATAAAATGCTGCTTGTTGTACAAAAATGTGGTTTAGAAGAATAAGAATTGTTCAAGTTGACAATTTCTTACTTACCTATCTCCACCAAGAATAAGAGCTGCCCTCAGACCAGTAAATCTGCCAAGCTGAAATAAAATATACCAATGATCATGACTAAGAACTGATCCTAACAAAACTTACTGAATGTGGTAGTCTGCAAATGGTTTAACAAACTGCTGCCAATTCGTTTGTAAAGTGCTTTATCAAACATTTTCCATGATACCCTATAAGAAAATAGAAATTTGTTCCCAAAAAGCTACCTTAGGCCACACCAATTTAATTTCTTGGTTAACGGATTTTTCTAGAAAAATAATGGAGCGGGCGGGTGAAAAAAAATAAAAACAGGCCAAGGCATCCTATTATGGCCCAAAATGGTACGATAGGAGCCATGAAGTCAACACACCAGGCTGGTTCAAAATTTAAACAATGAATTTTGAACTTTTAATGATACCATTGTATTGAAAGATGGAATAACTGTAACAACTAGGAAGAAAAGGACTGTTTTCAACTGTTCAGGGCAAAATATGAGCATTTTGCAGTTGATTCTGAATTTTTATTTTTATTTGCAAATCAGAAAAAAATGAAGCGGGCGAATCCGTTAACCAAGAAATTAAATTGGTGTGGCCTTAGCAGGCTGAAGGTTAAGTGTAGGTGAAACATTTCTGTACAGTACCAGCAAGAAATCAGAGATTGTATGGCATAAGTAATGTACATTAATTTTGTACTCTAAGTACTACATGTACACAATGGTTTATGTTTCACAATGACTACACAGTACTGTACAACCCATATCACATTCAACCACCCAGGGGATGTCAGGCCATCACCCTGTCAATCACCTGTAACCCTTATCTCTGCCCACTCACTTCCAATCCTCGCTGCTCGGGACAAGATACAGAAAAACTCTCTATAATTTAAGTATAAACCATCCCAGCCCAAACAAGGTTCTAGCTAGTGCAAAGTAGCATAGGGGCCCCCTACGCTATAATTCTGACCCCCTAAGCTAAATTTCCCCCCCTACGCTATAATTTTAACCCCCTACGCTATATTTCACCCACTACGCTATAATTTTGACCCCCTGCGCTATATTTCTCCCCTATGCTAATTTTTAATACAGCATAGGGGCATTGTGACTGTATTTCTTTGTTCAAGAATGCCAGATCAAATGTGAAAAATCAAGGGTACATTGTACATACGTCGATGAAGGTTAGACATCCAGGTAATATGATATGCCAAAAAACAGTTACTCAAGCAACTGGATATGATTTTGAAAACGTCAGACGTTTCAGCTAGTATCCACTAGCTTTCGTCAGTGACTGAGAGACCAGAGGGGAAAGCAGGTTTATATACACAACCTGTTGATTGATATGCAAATAAAGTGAAGACAAATTTTTTGGAAGTCGAAAAAGGAACAAAAGTCAGACAAGTCAAGACAAGATGATGCAAATTAGTCTGAAAGCTCCTGTTATACAGAACAGGAGCTTAAGTGTTGTCTGTCCTCGGGGCTGGGAGTGCCAAATCCCAAGTGCCGGAAAGATCGACCCGTAGCCCCCCTTCCCTGTTGAGGGTGGGGTTGTACATTCTTTCATATATTGCCTCTTTAACACCCCGTTCCCACCAGCGAGATCGTTCCCACCACTATCAGACGAGATCTTTGCCGAAACTAAAGAGTTCATAACACGCGGACAACTTGATCAGCACGAGAAGGGAAAAGACAGACAGAAGACCAAATTTGATCGTTTACAGCAAAAGAAGACTATTAGCGCAGCAGATAGTGACCCAAATTGGAGATCAAACAGTTCCGAACCCAAAACCACTACACAGGCCAAAACCGACGAGAGGTGGGTAAAAAACCTAAGTTAGCCATACTCTCACAGAACCAGAGAAATCACTGCTTTCTAAAGGTCTAAATTTTGCAGTAGCACCCAACAAGATTCCCAGCATTGACATTGTGACAGAAACCGAGTCAGCAATTCGTCGGGCACGTTTACCACAGAGACAAGTTAAGCTGAAGCCTTGCGCACCAAAGTAGCTACCACCCTGAAAGTCTCCAAACCCCCTGCTAGTAACATCACACAGGAAGAACGTACCGCTCTCAAAGATTTGGCTACCAATCAAGACATATTGATTCTTCCTGCAGACAAGGGCAGATGCACAGTAGTCTTAGACAGGGAGCAGTACGACAGGAAGGTACAGGACCTATTGGGAGACAAAGACACCTACATGCCCTTGAAAAAGGACCCCACTAACAAGTTTAAAGGGAAAATCAGTTCAGCTCTCAAGAAATCGCAAACTGAAGGAGTTCTGGATCGCCCCACCTACCTAAAACTCAATCCCACAACGGAACAACCCCCTGCTTTCTACGGCCTTCCCAAAATCCACAAACAAAGTGTCCCTCTACGACCCATAGTCTCCAGTATAGGCTCTGTCACCTATGAGTTAGCAGGTTTTCTAGCCAAGATTTTAGGACCACTAGTGGGGAAATCTCAGCACCATGTACAGAATAGTGCCGACTTTGTCAACAAAATCAAAGACATTCATGTAGAGGATGATGAAACCATCACTTCGTATGACGTGTGCTCACTTTTCACCTCCATACCACCCAAGGAAGCAGTGTCAGTAGTCAAGGAAGCCTTGGAAGCCGATGATACACTTGCAGATAGAACCAACCTATCCGTTGACCAAGTTTGTGAGCTACTAGGACTCTGCTTAGGATGCACATACTTTACCTACAAAGGACAGTTCTACCAGCAAATGCACGGCTGTGCTATGGGGTCACCAGTCTCACCAATTGTTGTAAACCTGTACATGGAGAAGTTTGAAAACAAAGCCCTCAGCACTTTCAATGACACTCCCCCGGCCAACTGGTTTCGATATGTAGATGACACTTGGTGCAGATTGAAAAAGAGGGTAGCTGCTGACTTCTTTGACCACATCAACCAGATAGATGACAACATCAAGTTCACACAGGAGCCAAGCCATGACAACATGCTCCCTTTCCTAGACACCAAAACTATCGTAGAGGAAGATGGTAACCTTCGTTTCGAAGTGTACAGGAAACCAACCCACACTGATCAGTACCTGGCTTTTGATTCCCACCACCCTTTGGAACACAAACTAGCAGTGATCAAAACTCTCTTCCATCGTGCAGACAACATTGTCACTTCAGACCAAGCCAAAACGGACGAACAAAGACACCTCCGAGGTGCCCTGGCTAAATGTGGCTACCAAAACTGGACTTTCAACAAAGCGCTCAAACCTTCAGATCAGTCTAAGAAAACCCAGAAGTGTAAACCATTGACCAACAAAAACAAGGCCAACATCACTATTCCGTATGTCCAAGGAGTATCTGAGAAACTCCGACGGATCTTCCAAAACTTCAACATAGCCACTAACTTCAAACCTCACTCAACCTCAGACAAAGACTGGTACACCCTAAGGACCGACCTCACAAGGGTACCAAGGCGAATGTTATTTACAGACTCAAATGTGAGGAGCCCAATTGTAACAACACCTACATCGGAGAGACAAGTCGACCGCTTAAAGTAAGGTACAAAGAACATTGCCGACCTAGTACCAACGGCTACTCCTCAGCTATTTTCCACCACCTACAACACAACCAGGGTCACTCTTTCAAACTCGAGTCCACGGATGTCTTAGACCGCGAAACACGCTGGTGGGAACGGGGTGTTAAAGAGGCAATATATGAAAGAATGTACAACCCCACCCTCAACAGGGAAGGGGGGCTACGGGTCGATCTTTCCGGCACTTGGGATTTGGCACTCCCAGCCCCGAGGACAGACAACACTTAAGCTCCTGTTCTGTATAACAGGAGCTTTCAGACTAATTTGCATCATCTTGTCTTGACTTGTCTGACTTTTGTTCCTTTTTCGACTTCCAAAAAATTTGTCTTCACTTTATTTGCATATCAATCAACACAGGTTGTGTATATAAACCTGCTTTCCCCTCTGGTCTCTCAGTCACTGACGAAAGCTAGTGGATACTAGCTGAAACGTCTGACGTTTTCAAAATCATATCCAGTTGCTTGAGTAACTGTTTTTTGGCATACATTGTACATACCTTAGAAATAACATTTTTTCCCTTTGGGTATCCTTCAAATGGCCTCTTTTTAAGCTCAAATTTCAAAAAGCTCCGCTTCGCTCCCTCATCATGTGGCCAGTGCCACTACGCTAAAATTAAATCCTAGCTATGCTAGAACTCTGAACAATGCTACCAGTACAGAACCAAAGATTTTGCGTACCTCTTTAGTAAACTTCATGGTCTGCAGTGCCAGTTCCCTGGTGGGTGAGAGGATGAGAGCGCGAGCGCCCGCCGTGCTGTGGGCGCGCAGTCTCTCCAACATGGGGACCAGGAACGCCGCGGTCTTCCCACTCCCCGTCCTCGCCATGGCAACTACATCCTTACCATCCATGATGAGGGGGATGCACTGGACAGGACAACAGTCAGCTTTTTAAACAAGTAAAATCTGAGATTTTATACCTCCGGGCTTTTTATTGTATATTTTCATATGTTGTTTGTTATGTATAGTTGATGGTGTTGAATTTTATGCACAACAACAATTGTTGCGCGCCGCAGGACTAGGGCTTTGAACAAAGAATTTATCGAGACCAGACACCCCTCTGTATGAGGGGTCATATACGTGGACCAGACCGAGAATATTTTAAACATGCCGAAGGTCAACGGTCGCGACCATTTTCACGCTCAAAGGGGTGTTCTGGTTTAATGTGATTATCTAAATTAAGCAGTTTAAGAATTGAACAATTCTTATTGATTGTTACCTTTCGTTGAATAGGTGTTGGGACTTTGTATCCTTTCTTCATAACCCCCTTGAAAATACCATGAGACAGACCTGTAGAAAGGAGTAACATTATGGTGCATATTAAACAAACAAGACATGGCCATGGTGCATGTACATAATTATTTAATATTTTATTATTCCATATTACTAGTAATCTTTTGAAGTTCTTCTACCGAGAAATGATCCTGTTACATCATTATTTTCTAAGCTTGAAAAGCAATCAAGGATTTTATAACATCATTCATTGAATAACATTCTTAGTACGTATAAGAACAGTGTCAGAGTCTGACCCATTGACTGGAAGCCGCCAGATTTTTTCTTCTTCTTGTTCTGTGCAGTGACGAGCTGTCTGATGTCAGGCTCCACATCCGAGGTGGAGTCAGTACTGGGGAAACTGTACTTCAGCACAGAGGGGTCCATCTGGAGAACACATGGGGGAACACAAGGTGGAGTCAGTACTGGGGAAACTGTACTTCAGCACAGAGGGGTCCATCTGGAGAACACATGGGGGAACACAAGGTGGGGTCAGTACTGGGGAAACTGTACTTCAGCACAGAGGGGTCCATCTGGAGAACACATGGGGGAACACAAGGTGGGGTCAGTACTGGGGAAACTGTACTTCAGCACAGAGGGGTCCATCTGGAGAACACATGGGACAAACACAAGGTGGGGTCAGTACTGGGGAAACTGTACTTCAGCACAGAGGGGTCCATCTGGAGAACACATGGGACAAACACAAGGTGGGGTCATGTGGAGTACATGGTAATGTGTTCGGCTCAGGACGAACAAAGACAAGAGGTCGCGGGTTCAAATCCTACCATGTCACTGAACTTGTACCCTTGAAAAAGGCACTTAAGATGACTTTCCTCACTTCACTCTGGTGAAAATGATTACCAGGTAGCTTTGGTTAGGGATGCCCCTTGGATAGAAGGTTAAATGGAGGTCCAATGTTTGGGGAGAGCCACACCCCACACACATTAAAGATTAATACCCACTGCACGTATGGTCTCAGATCGGAGTTTTTTTTCACGATTTTGGATCTGGCGGACACCCTCAGACCAAAGGGCTAGTATGCCGGGAAATCTCATATCAGTGAACAGAGGTTTCCAGCCAGCTTCTGATAGCATTTTGGTTATCGCCTGTTGACTCTACAATTTGAGTAGAACATCTGAACATCTAACTCAAAACAACCTTCTTCAGGAGTTTTGAAAGAGTCAAGTCATCAACTGTAACAGTTGTTGTGATATATTTTCCTGACCGTTTCCGTGCATATTTTTGGGATTTGTGCACTATATAAACCCATGAAAAAGTATAACATTACACTTTTCACAATGTACGAGCGAGTAAAAGTGTGGAAACGAGCGAGAAAAACTCGTGCAAGTCCATACTAACTTTTTTGAGGGGGAGGGGGGCAGAGCTATACAGGCGTGTTGGCAAGTTACTTCTTACCTCTGGCACAAGCTCAAATTCTCCCTCTCCGTCCGAATCATCATCTCCATTTTTCCTCCTGGCTTTCCTCTGCTTTTTCTGGCCCATTTTATTTCTTAAAAGCTGTTCTCATATGCTTAAAACTTGATTTTTATTCCGCACAGCCTGACAATCTCACGTGGGCGCAGCCATGTTGGAATTGCATTGGATTCTGGGAACGTAGACGGAGCTACTCAAATATAAGGGGGGTTTCATAAATTATTTTAATGTGCAAAAACAAGAAAATAGTGTCTTCGAGACACAAATAACTCTAAATAAAAATTTTCACAAAATTTATGTCTAGCTAGTTTATTAATTTTAAAGAAAAAATATGATATCTCAATGCCTAGCCTCCCTTAGAAAAGTAGACCCATCCTATGACGTCATCCATCATTCCTAAACAACAAGTGGTCGAGAACGCTTCTGTCTCAGCGCGGAGGTGAGTTTTGTTGTGTTTCTGCAGGTTTTAACGTGATTCTACACATTTATATACCTCTAACTCTTTGTCTGTACTGTGATAGCACATAGGAACATGCAGAGTAAAACGATCCAAGCGTTTTACGTTCAGAAGTTGCACAGTTTTGCTTTAAGTTAGTTCCTAGTGAATTCTTTCATCAGTGACAACTTTGGAAGGATAAGGATACTAACCTCCAAATTTTCGATGGCTATCAGTCCATCTTGTTCACGGAGTGGCCTAATCTCGCGAGAGCGCGAGACTAGGCCCGAGACTTGCATCGGTCTGTCGGGTCCCACCCCCCGCTGCCTCCCTCCGAAGTAAGGGTAAGTAAGTCTTGGGGAGCTCCCAACCTTCTGTCCGGTTTAGCTTGGCACCTTCCAACTGTATGTGCACCGCTTCCTTAATCTTCCTATGTGGGTTACTGGTCAGTGGCTGGTCAGGTCATTGGCCCTGTGAACCCCACGAAGAAACTTAAGGGCAGGCTACAGAGAAAACTTAGGGAGATTAAGAAAGCAGGCCACCTTGACCCCAAGGTTTATGACAAGGTGTACCCTACATCTGATGCTACCCCGAGGTTCTATGCTACACCCAAGATACATAAGAACCCTCTCAAGATGAGACCTATAGTGTCTGGGATTAATTCCATCACTTACCACCTAGCTAGACATCTAGCGGACCTACTTAAGCCCCTTGTGGGACAGTCAGAGGAACACATCAAGAACTCTCTGGACTTGGTCACTAAGATCCGAGAGGTGACACTCGAAGATGGAGAGGTACTCACATCTTTTGATGTCACAGCCCTCTTCACTAGTGTTCCAGGGAAGGAGGTCGTCGGGATGGCAGTCAGTAGAGCAGAGAAGGATCCCACCTGGAAAGATCGTACCTTGTTAACCCCCAAAGAATTTGGTGAGCTCCTCCTCCTGGTGGTTAGCACTACGTACTTTCAGTACAATGATGTTATCTACGATCAGACCTTTGGCATGGCGATGGGTTCTCCATTGTCCCCTGTGTTAGCGAACCTGTTCATGGAGGAGTTCGAGAGGAAAGCTCTACACACTGCTCCACACCGCCCCAAGTTCTGGGGGAGGTATGTAGACGACACCGGCGTTGTGAACAGACAGGAACATGAACAGGAACTCTTCGATCACATCAACACGCAGCATGACAGTATCAAGTTCACTATTGAGAGGGAACAAGACAACCGTCTCCCCATGCTGGATGTCATGATGGTCAGGAATCCAGACAACACCATCACTACAGATGTGTTCAGAAAAGAAACCCACACCGACCACTACTTACAGTGGTCCTCCAACCACCCGGTGCAACAGAAGCTTGGGATAGTTAGGACTCTTATGCACAGAGCCAACACCCTTATTGAAGATCCCGCGTTGAGAGAGGCTGAAAAGGAAAAAGTCAGAGTAGCCCTCAGACACTGTGGATACCCAGAATGGGCCCTGAGGGAGGGGGAAAACAACTCCAGAAGGGACAAAAGTAACAAGGAACAGAGTAAGAACTGGAAAACAAGAGCAATCCCAGCGAGTTACTTGGTTCGTACCCTACATACATGGAGTTACAGAGAGACTGAAACGTGTATATGCCAAACACAATGTGAGCCTGTACTCCAAACCGGGCTTCACCTTACGTAATGCCCTTGTGAGACCCAAGGACCCTCTAGCACCTGGTGAGAAGTGTGGTGTGATCTACAAGATCAAGTGTGAAGAGTGCGGGGAGGTTTACGTTGGTGAAACTGAGCGGTCACTGGGGGAAAAGACTTTACTGAACACCAAAAGTCGTTACACCAGAAAGACTGCAAGTCAGCGTTAAGTCAACACCAACTCCAGGCTGGTCACAACATCACTACCAGGCCCATCTCTGACATTATTGAAATCATAGACCAAGAGTCTCGTAACCCACATAGGAAGATTAAGGAAGCGGTGCACATACAGTTGGAAGGTGCCAAGCTAAACCGGACAGAAGGTTGGGAGCTCCCCAAGACTTACTTACCCTTACTTCGGAGGGAGGCAGCGGGGGGTGGGACCCGACAGACCGATGCAAGTCTCGGGCCTAGTCTCGCGCTCTCGCGAGATTAGGCCACTCCGTGAACAAGATGGACTGATAGCCATCGAAAATTTGGAGGTTAGTATCCTTATCCTTCCAAAGTTGTCACTGATGAAAGAATTCACTAGGAACTGTATCTGTACGTGACAAATGAATCTCTTCAACGATGCTTTAAGTTAAAAGTTGACGCGTCCTGTTGTGATCAACTTTGTTTTCCTTTGGGTAACATTACTTTAACGTAGTAGCAGCATTAGGCCTCAGCAAATAAATTTTATGGATGACATCCTCCACAGACTCCAAATCTAATGCGATAGGGCGAGAAAAACCAAAGTTCCTACATTTTAAAATTTTGACTCAATCATTGTACAAATGGTTTTGATTCAGTAGGAACATGTGACACATATACACAGCCAGCATCACATATTACTGCATCAAAGTAAGAAACAAAACGTTAAATCAGAGCCTTTTCTTGTCTCCTCTATTCATAGTTATCTGCCATCCACCTTCCGGCATGGCAACAGACATCTTTGCCCATTTTTGGCCTGGTGGCTACTGTCAGAAGGCAACAAAATTTCTTGTTTTTTTTCCCCAAATCAGGCGAAAATTAATGCGCGTGCTGATGTCATCCATAAAAATTACTTACTGTGGCCTTAAGTGAAAATCAGTAACTACTACTTACTTACAACGTTTTTACCTACAACACTATTTATAATTGTAATCTATATATAACATGTAACAGTTACTATTATTCTTTGGAAAGGAGGGGTAGCTCGATCGTTTGTAGCTGTTAACATTGTTAACGTTAACATTATTGAAAAATACAAATAACCTTAAACCATTGGAGGTTAGAAGAGAGATTTTTCTACCTCCATGCTTAAACAACAACTCAACGTTACATGTGACTTAAATACGTTGTCCTACAATTAATGAACTCTTTTACCTATTTGTCTTATCAATGCATTTATCATTTGTAGTTGGATGGATGCCATTAAGTATTCACCTCAAGGTTATAGCTATACACTGGCACACTGCAACATATTAATAATTTATCTTCAACTTGTCTTAAGTAGTAATCAGGGGTTATTAAGGGTCATAATTTTAGTGGTTATCTGGTCTGGATGCTTAACATCTGTGTCCATAATATCACCAGGGTCCATAATATCACCACCTTGAGACATGCTTAAAGATATTTTTACTGCAACATACTTTTGGTATGCACTCCTTCACACATCAAATGTAACGTTTCATACCTAGGGTATGTTGCAGTAAAAATATCTTTAAGCACACTTTTTCTCAAGGTGGTGATATTATTATTATTATTATGGACTATGGTGATATTATGGACGCGGATGTTAGGTACATGATGAAACAGTTATCTAAAATCCCTACTTAGAACAGATTTTCCATGTTTTATTGTAAGATATCATTCTTGGCAAAGTTACATGCAGGTACTATTGTCCCACTTTAAAAACCAACCCATCAAGGATTCAAAATTTTTTTAGCTTTCATTAGAATATTTTTTGTTTCAACTTCACATAATTATCTCAGTGGTAGAAATTTTTTCACAAAATTAAATTGTAAAGCTATACTATAACATAAAGCAAGATTTCTTGTCTGATGTCTGGGCAAAACTGTTTCCACATCAAACCATTGACTTTTTACCTCCATGAAAAATGGAGGTATTGTTTTTGGCACGTCTGTCTGTGTGTGCGTGTGTGTGTGTCTGTCTGTCTGTATGTGTGTGTGTTTGTGTGTGTGTGTTTCCACATATTTGTAGTCAGCATAACTTCATAACACCTTTATGGATTGTGATGATATTTGGTATGCTGGTAAGTCTTAGGAAGACGAAGGTCACGTTCAGTCTGCAGAGTTGCAGGTTGCTTAATTTTTCTTCTGCAAAATTGAAACTGTGTCAGATATGTAAACTGCTGGAGCTTGGGAATTTAATTTCTAACACTATTCTTTTTTTGTCTCTCAGGGCCCCATACATGTACATCAGGATGACTACCTTTATTGTGCGGAGAAGCATCAGTGTTTTAATGCAGACATAATCCACTCCACATCCCTGACACCTGTACATGTGTGGGACCATGCAGGACCTGACAGTAACAGGACAGAGTAAAGTCTCAGAGAGAGGTTCTAGTGGAAAGAAAACGTACAAGACAACGTCAAACTCATCCTACGTAGACGAGATGTTATTCGGGTCGCCTAGCGACAGGCGTCGGTCGAACGAGAACTCATTTTCAACCCCAAAGTCCAAGGCGCCGCCGTTGTTATGGTCTCCGCCCGTGTACGGGTCCAAGAGCGACACGGCGGGGAGCAGGAGTTCACGCCCACCGAGCGGCAGACTGAGCGGTTCTTCTTCGAGAAGTGAAAGCCGAAGAGGTAACATGCCCAGGACAAAGAACAAGTACAGGTACATATACTAGTAGGCATTTTTGATCTTGTTCTGTATACTAGGTAGCAGTCAGGGCATCACAACCAATTCATTCCTCAACAAAGACAGAGGGCGCCACAGACTTCCTGCAACTTGAAAACCACTGCTTACCAAGTGTGCCATCTGTATGTGACGTCACAGAAGCAGTGAATTGCTCAATCCTTAAATTTCGAGTTGACAAAGACGAGAATGTACAGTCAAAAAGTTGTAAGTAATCACCATGATATATATATTGTAAAGAATCACAGATTCATCTGAAACAGCGAGCAGATTATTGGAATGAGCAGAGCACTTTGGACTAATGCCTCTTGCCGTTTACAGCTTAGAGGTACATATTCAATCTTTTGTCAAAAACTTCTCTGTTACATAGCGGATCACAATGACCCCCAGTGGGGGTCTTCATGCTTCGTTAAAAATCTCAATATTTTAGACAAAATCTTGAGATATTATGAGACAATCTTGAGATTTTTCATGACAATCTCCAGATCTTTCAGAAAATCTTGAGATGAAGACAAAAGGTCTGAAGATCTTTCCAAATGTTTTCAAAGCATCTTGAGATTTTTCCATAGCATCTTGAGATGCTTTAAAAAATATCAAGATTTTTAAAGTAATCTTGAAAAAACTTGAGATCTTTAAAAGAATCTTGATATTTTTTAAAGCATCTCGAGATGCTATGGAAAAATCTCAAGATACTTTGAAAACATTTGGAAAGATCTTAAGACCTTTTGTCTTCATCTCAAGATTTTCTGAAAGATCTTGAGATTGTCATGAAAAATCTCAAGATTGTCTTATAAGATCTCAAGATTTCGTCTAAAATATTGAGATCTTTGGAACAAATCTTGAGATTTTTCAATTTTCAACGAAGCGTGAAGACCCCCGCTGGGGGTCATTATGATCCGCTATGTAACAGAGAAGTTTTTGACAAAATATTGGATATGTACCTCTAAGCTGTAAATAGTCAGAGGCATTAGTCCAAAGTGCTCTGCTCATTCCAATAATAATCTGCTCGCTGTTCTGAGTTTTACATGTGATGTTTTGACAGACTTGTGAAGCACACGCCGACCTTCGTAGACGAGCAGCTGTTTGGCTCCAGACTTTCGGAGCCTGAGTTCGCGGCTCCGTGGGAGGAGAAGGACAGACGGGACACGCCCCTGCTGTGGTCCCCGGGAACCCCCACGGTGGACAAGGTTTGTGTATTTTTGTTTTCTTACATGTCTGTCATTTAACATCATTTGATGGAGTGTTGGTCAAAATTCACACAGGCAATATCCACATGTAACAGTGGCTACCAACAGTTCCGGCAAACGGGTCTAGACTCTAGACCTTTTCGGCCGAGCGGTTAGAGTGTCTGACTGGGGCCCAGGAGGTTGTGGGTTTGAACCCCGGCCCGGGACCAGTGGGGTTTTTACTGTCTCCTGTTTCTCACAGTGCCGGCCCTGGGAGTTCTGGCAAAGAGTGCCGCTCCAGGCCTAGGGATGTCGAATTCGGAAGATTCGAGGACGAATCTTGAAAAGAAAAGGGGGAGTAGTGTATACGTAACAGTGGGGGGTTTATAGGCGCTACTAACTGATCCGGCCGATGGGTCTAGACCTTTTAGCGGAGTGGTTAGAGCATCTGGTTATGAAGCTCTGGTGCCCGGGAGGTCGTGAGTTCGAACCCCGGCCCGGGACCAGAAGGGTTTTTACTGGCTCCTCCTGTTTCTTACACACACGGTACAAAAACAGTGACACACGCGACTGTACAAAAACTGCATACCCCAAATTTTTCCTGTAACGTTATGTAAATTATCAAGAACATAAAATGTCAAGAACCTACTCATACAATGTATATATTGTAAGCTAGTCCTCGATGTAACGTACAGTCTTAACATAGTTCTTGATGTAGGCTGATTTATACAATAAATAAATGTAATACACACAGAAAAAAAATTGATACATAACTTTATTGCGCAACAATTGTACAGTGTACAAAGTATGGCATCTACTAACTTAAGTAAGTACATGTCAACTACATTTTCATAAGGCTAATCTAATACAAAAGTGGGTGGCTAGTATGAGATAGGTATCAACTTATACAATTGTTTCTAATATCCATACAGTCTTTAATACAGTAGCATGTAGGGGTTGTCACAAGTCAATATGTATTTTTATATCATACCCGGGCCGCGATAACGTTCGATAACGGGTTCCGGACCGGGCCGTACTTTACGGAACCCGTTATCGAACGCTTCCATGGCTTCCATAAAACGATTCGAACGCGTTTCGCCCTTACCGCGTGTGCCCCTTTCGAAAATTCTAATACAGAATCTGGACGTTGGAACTGATGTTGTTGCATTTGAGGGTTTAGGGGCACCAACTTTTGGCTCATATTGAATGAATGAATGAATGACTGGTTTATTAGGTAAAACATTGCAGCCCGTCAGGCTGAAATACGTTCTACTTACATATAGTACATGAAAGTACGTTTCATCACTTACATAGGACACAACTCAATATGACGAATAGCATAAAATATTACATAGTATTAAAATGTCGATTAAAATAAAATATTACAATAAGAAAACATCTGAGTGTGGTTGATTTACAACGTATTATTTGTTCGTGTTAAGCAGACTCAGTAGAGACGGTACAGGGCTGTTTTGAAATCTAGCAGTGCGGCAAGGCGCCAGTGTCATTTTGTTAGAGTTTCTAAGGTTCCTGCTGTGCTCCTGTCGCCGTGTGTTGGGGAGGAGATCAGCTGTGCGCTCCGATGTTGTCATGCTGTGTGCAAACTTGGTGCAGAGGACCGCCCGTCTCTTCTCGAGTGTTTCAAGTTTGCACATCTGCAGCCCCGTGGTGTAGTCTGTATACTTCTGACCCAAGATAATCCGGCATGCACGTTTCTGTACTCGCTCCAGTGTTGCAGTTTGTTTGCGGGTAAGTCCGTGATGCCACACTGGCGCGCAGTACTCAAGGATCGGTCTTATGAAGCCACAGTACACTGTTACAAGGTCCTCCACTGGGACTCCAGATGACTTAAGTCTGCGTAACATGAACAGTCGCTTGTTGCCCTTCTTTGTTGTTTCACTGACTTGTGTGTCCCATTTTAGGTTTGACTGAAGCCAGACACCTAACACCTTGGCGATTTCCACTGTTCTTAGGGGGTTACCGCAAAGACTGATGGGTACAGGTGGACTCGGATTCCTCATAAAGCACACTGTGAACACCATGCACTTTCCGGGGTTGAGTTTCAGTTGTGCACTTTCAGACCACTCCGCTAGGGAGTTAGCTTGGTCTTGAAGGTGGGATTCTTCGGAGTTGTGTCTGTTCTCTCCCAGCGATAGGTCATCCACGTATTTCCACCGATCATTGAGTGATTGACAGGCATCATTTATCATGCAGAGGAAGATGATTGGTCCCAACTTTGTGCCTTGTGGGACACTGGTGGTAAGAGTTTCACAGTCTGAGAGTGACTGTCCATACCGGACTCTTTGTCGTCTTTCTGTGAGAAAGTCCACTATCCACGGCACAATGGACGGTCTTGTCTCCATGTTGAGTAGTTTCAAGATGGCCTGATGGTGGTTGATGATATCAAATGCCTTAGTAAAGTCCGTTAATAGGATTGTTCTCACGTTTTTGCTTCTTTCAGCACCTTGGTAGAGACTAATCAGGGTTAGTGGTTGGTCGAACTTCTCTTCGTATCCCCCCAAACTTGACGTTTTGTCGATGTTGTTCCATATGTCTGACAGCACCCATTTTCCTACGATGCCTTCGCAAATCTTCGCAAATATTGCAGTCAGAGATATCGGACGCAACTTGTCGATGACTGCTGGCAGTTCCTTGGGGATAGGCGTGACTACTGCTTCCTTCCACTGGGCTGGAACTGTACCTGCTATCAGTGAGGTGTTAAATATGTCCGTGAGTGGTTCTGCGAGTTCACATGCGAACATTCTAACCAGTCGGGGAGCGATACCGTCCGGACCTCCCGCTTTACGAACTCTGACTCGGGACAGCTCTAGGTACATCTCCCACGGCAGGATCTGTGGCGGTGGGGAGGGTGCAGGAAGGTAGGCTGGTAGATCACTTGTGCACACTTCTGGGGACTGCTGGGAGATCGATGACAGGTGTTTGTTTATCGCATCTGCGACAGCCTTGTGGTCGTCCAGGGCGACGTTTGGGACGTGGATGGCACTGGGAGGTTTTACTACGTTGCACACAGACTTCAGCTCCTTGTACCATTTTGCTGGGTCTTCTGTTTTCAACTGTTGAACTTTGTTCACGTAGTGTGTTTCCTTGGCCAGTTTGATGTGGCGGATGATTTTGTTTCTGAGTCTTTTCCACACTTCCTCTTTACGTTGGTAGAAGGCTTCCTGTCGTTTCTTTATCAACCTCTTAACCCGTGTCGTTGTCCACGGTTTGTCTGTCGGGTGGATCTTGACGACTTTGGTGGGGAAAAACTTATCAATCTGTTGGTTCAGTGTCTTGTAGAAGCCGTCTGTCTTTTCTTGTGCACTTGTGGCGTTGTAGACTTCGTTCCAGTCGTGCTGGGATATCCATGCACCAAATGCCCTGATGTCCGAGTCTTTGAGGGGCCTCACAACACGCGTGTGGGTCTTATTCACAGCGTTAGTCACTTTTGGTGCCCAGGTGACGGAATAGTGGTCGCTAAGTCCCACTGGAGCTCCTATAACAGGTGTGTTGTACTTGGACTGGATGTTGGTGATGATGACGTCAAGCGTGGCGTCACCTCTCGTTGGTCCCTCCACTACTTGCTGTAGAACGTTCCCCCTGCGGAGAGGGGCTGTGTCAGTGCGATTCAGGTCACCGAGTATCACGATTCCAATGTCCGGATACTTCGTACGAAGATAGTCGGTACTGTTGAGCAAGTGCTCGATAAGGGTGTCTTGATGTGGTGAGTTAGGTGGGATGTATACGCCACATACCGCTAGTGCTGACACGGAGCGAGGGAGCTTATAAGGACGCATCCAGACCCAATATTGCATTGAAAGGTGCGTTTTCTTGTGTGGGTATGATATAAATAAAATACAACACGGTGTATTCCGCATCACCCTCGGTCCCGGCCCTCCCACGAGTCGGATCCCGCGGTCGGGCCGATACCTCGGGCGATACGGAATACCCCGTGTTGTATTCTATATAAATTTTCTTTCCAAGTTCATTGTGGTGAATGCTGGGAAAGAATCTGAAAGTCTAGTATATAGTGCATTGCGTACATTAATATATTTAGGACACACAATCAAAAAGTGATATTCGTCCTCAATAAGCTCTGGACAAAATGGACAAACCCTCTGGTCATTGGGAATTTTATGGAATCTTCCGGTTTCTATACTAAGTTTGTGACAGCCAATTCTGAGTTTTGTGATTGCGCTACGTACGTCAAGTCTTTTTATGTTTGAAAGGTAGTTTTCTTGTCTAGTGTTTGTTCAGAGTAGAAAGAAAGGAAAGTTTGATATATACGCTGTTTTTTTATGCATGCATGTCTAATATCATGCAGTTTTCATACTGTCAGGATTTTGCCGTATGTAAATTGGGTTCTTATTTCTAATTACTTCCCTAATAGGCCACAAGACTTGGGACAGACGAGTATTTAACTTAAATTGGTTACAGTAACTATTGGTCTTTTGGATGGAATATCAAGGAGATAGACACACCTCAATCAGAATAAAGATCCAATCTCAGATGCATGCAAATAAAGCAGGGTTCAGAATGTGAAAATGTGAACATTCCTCCCACCTACATTTTCCTTTGAGTTTGAGTGCTTTGTTTTTCTCCCATTCCCATGGCAAATTACTCGAGCACATACAAATTTTATGGAATTTCTGATCAGCACTTAAAAATATATTTGCGATGGGTATAGAACCCAAAATCTCATTGTTTGAAAGCTGTTTAATATATTATTATGGAATGTACCAAATATGATGTTATACTTCGAATCAAGTACAATAGATTTCAAAAGTCTCGATGTTAGAGACAGATTTGAATATATCTTTACATGTAATGGTCCCCACAACGCAAAAATAGGTAGATATATAAAGGAAAGCTTTGTTATTAGAAAAAACTCCGAAACTTGTGATTAGCCCACTCGATTGTAACACTTTATCAAAGACTTGTGCTATCCCTTATTATTTGAATAATTATGATATAGATTTGTTAGGTTTTATTCGACATTAGGTCTTGTTCAACACATTTTATTATTTGTTACTCTCTTTATGTAGTTTGCCATACATTGTACCATGTGCAATTGTCGTTCAATAAAGTTCTTCCTATTTACTAACAAATGATGACTCTCAAACTAGATTACTCCAGCTCCGACATCAGGACGTCGACCCAACTCCAGACCATCGTCAGCGCTGAGAGAGAGGCCAGGGTCGCGGGCAGGGGAACAGCCGCTGTACTACCAGAGCGGGGTGGAGACCAGGACAGGCAGGTACAGCAGCTGGTCCCGGCCGGGCAGCGCGGCCAGCGGGAGAACAAGTGCCACGGGAGTCAGACCTCGCTGGAACCCGTAGATTAGGACCTGTAGGTTTTCTACACAAATCAACACTCAGTCTGGTATCCTGTGTTGCCTAGTCCGTGTCTGTGTTTCTGTCATTATGTTTACCGAAGGAAAACATATTGTTTTTGCTCAATTTCTTCCTCTTCTTCTCCAAACAGTGACCTACATGTATGACCTGATCTGACATGATTTGTTGACACCTGTCACCATGGTGACTGGTGTTGGGTTACATAATGTTGCAATTTCAAGGTCTGCTCTGCTCCTGTCACCATATACTGTCTAGTAGTACTGTAAGTCTCTTTAGATTCGCGGGGCCTAAAGTTCGCGGTTTCGGGAAAATGGACAATCCGTGGTATTTTTAGATTCGCGATGTCTCCTTGGCTATTTTTCAAAGAAAAATTTGTAAAGTGTATATTTAAAATAATAAAAGTTCGTGTTCCGGCATTTATCTCCTAAAACGCGGCGCAAAAATTTGTTTCGTGCACCGCGCGAGACTGCTGGCGGTAAAGCTGACAATCGATCTGACGCACGTGTAAACAATTTTCTTTGTTCGGAAATAAGCGCTAAAATGCTATTTTCCACGACTACACATCGATACTCTAGTGAAGAAATGCATAATCGAAAGAATATATATACATGTACATGTATTACTAAGCAAATTTCTGCCGTCTTCGGCGAGATTTTGAACCCGGAAGTATGCAAAGGTCGCCTTCGATTTTGTAGGCCCACGGTGAGCGTTTCTATCCAGCAAAACAACAAGAAGAAAAAAACGCCCGCAAAGCAGGGCGCAAAAGATAACCAACTAACATTTCCCAGGTACCAGCCGTTATATTTTTCATAAAAATACTTGTAGATATGCCCGATGTTCCCGCAATTTTCAAGCGCCCGGGCGCGCATGGCCGGCGCTCTGCACGCATAGATTTTTTTCGGCGGTACACGGTTGACACGGCCAGTGCCGCAGTATCGCGATTCGGTGTCTCATAATATTATAATTTTTTGACATCAGTATAACTTAAAAAATTGGGTACTCAACATTTGCTAAGAATAAAGTTGATTTGCAGTGATTTGTGAATCGCGTGTGTTTGTGTTTCGCTTACCGTCGTGAATGCATGTGGGGAGGGGGCGCACTTACGCAAAACATATTCGCGGGGAAATAGATTCGCGGTACAAAGGTCCCCGCGAATGCCGCGAATCTAAATATACCGCGGAAATTTGTAGACTTACAGTAACATGTTACATGTATGTGAATGTGAGTGAGCAGCAAACCATATGCGAAAGGTTAACATTATGCATTTGCTTTGCAAATGTTACTTTTCTAGTTGACAACATTTTGCCACTCATGACAGACAAAAAATTTGCCCAATCCATCATCTTTGACAGATAGACGGTGCACACCCCAGTTCTCCTGCTACCGTGGTAGTGCGTAGTAAACAAGTGACGAAAGGGTTTTGAGGGTCCAAGTTTGAGGTGACATTTCTCATTAACTACCATGAAATATTATTAAACATTTAACATGGCTGAAGAGTGTAAGAAATGGTGATTTTGGGGTTAAATTTCTTTGGGGTTAAATTTCTTTGGGCTCCGAACCTTACTTCCAGGTATTCTCAAGGTTAGTCAAGGTTTGGGTCTTTCTGCCAGCATCAGTCGTTTCTGCCGGAAAACTTTTTTCTATGGGATTATCCTACACGAAAATTCCCAATTTTGTGCATTAATTTTGGAGTGATATTAATTTTTTTTCTGTTGATTTTACCACTGACAGTTAAAGAGGTTGAAGAACCCAAACTCAGCTGGTCTTGTAGCTGAAGAGATATCCTCTCGTCTCTGTACATGTACTGGTACATGTACATGTTTGTAGGTAACCCATTAGAGGAGTGAATGAGAGCTAAGAACAGGATGATACATGGAGCTGACTACTATTACAAGTTCTAACAATTTTGACCCTATCATAATGTACTGTGTTGCATCAATGAAAAAAAAAACAAGCAACCAGCAAACTGAAAAGTTGACCAAACCAGTGAAATTTTAGAGAAATACAATTGTATTCTGTTTTAAAATCTTGTTCCTTGTTACATCACTAATTGTGTCAAGAAAGAAATTAGTTACTAGAGAGTATTGTTTTACAAGTCACTTTATACAGGATGGGTTGAATTGAAATGTTTTCATTTCAATGTATACCCCCTCCACCTTTTGTTTGAATATTGGTTGATGCATGTAATATACAGCCTTTCATAAAGTGAAATATTGAAATGTGTTTCAATATAAACTTATAAGTCTTTCTCAGTGGCTGTAGTGTAGTGCGTATTGTCATTTTAGATTCAGTGCTATTGTTGCATTTTGTTAAACATTATTGAGTTGTAGTACAAGCCAGTAAGGAATTGACTGTGTGTGTTTTGAAGAGGACAGATGGTAAAACTATGTTGGTTGAGCGTTAGACTGTATACCAATGTTGGAAAGGAAACAACAAGGAAACATGTCTGACTGAATAGCAAAGATTTTCCTTCACATCCAGTTGTTTAACTAGAGCCGATGTTTTGATGACATCAAAACGTTAGCTCTAAGACTTGTTAAACATTGATGGTTGAATAGCAAAGTTCTTTGTTCACAATGTTACCACATTTCAATAATAACAAATTGTTATTCAACCATTCACCAACCTAATTATTTACTAAGGGAAATAATATCTTGTTGTGCAAAGTCTTTTTAGTTATTTTGACAGTGAACTACAGTACTCTCACTTGTGTGTGAGCTTCACCTCTAAGTAAGGCTGTTACATGTACATGTACATGATTGTATGCAATGTCATAATGCATACAATCCTCCTTCATAGACTATCAAAGAGCAGTTACAAAGAATTGACAAGTTTTGTAATTTCATAGATGATTCTAAATATAAGGGGTCAGTTGAGTTAACATGTACTAACCATATGAAAGTTGTTGACAATTACTAAGTCTTTGTTTTTTCTCTGGCAGCTACAAGTAAATTAAGAAACGTGCTGTGATGTTTTAGAGGAAACCACTGACTGATAAAATTTCATACATGTGTACATTGTTTTTCACAAGATCTTAAATGTAAAAAGCAAAGTCAAACAATAGATTAAGTGATTTACAGTAAGTTGCATTAAACTGTATCTATGAAGAAATATTTCATCAAGGAAATCATTATTCAAGTCATTTCAATGTGAAGTTGCAACTTTTATTTATAACAGTCTCCAATATAAGTTTGGAATTCCACTTTTCCCATTTTGACAAGTGGTCATATTTTCAATATAAAAGCACTTGGTACAAAGTCTTTATATATGATTGACAAGTATGATGTATAGTTGTCAAATATGATAATAACTTTCATGAATATTCATTTTGAAATTTTTCTTCCTGCAGGAATTCCTGCAGATTCTGCAGGAATTCCTGCAGGAAAAATTCTTCCTGCAGGAATTCCTGCAGGAAGACACTTTTCCTGCAGGAATGTCCTGCAGGAATTCCTGCAGGAATTTCTTTCCTGCAGGAAATTCTGCAGGAATTCCTGCAGGAATGACTCAATGACAGTGGAATATGAGTTTTTTAATGTCATTGTGTTTAACTTTAATTTGTTCTTAAACTGTTACACCATGCCTATTTGCATAATATTATAGTATGTGGACGATGAGGTTTAAGTAAAACTTTAACTGTTCGCTCTTCCAAAAATCCTAGATATACATGTATTGTGTTTTCAGAGATGTCTTGAGAGGACTGAATTGAAAGAATTTTAAATGTAATTCTGAGCCACCTAATAGAATACTTTCCTCAACTGGGCAAAATATGGACATACATGTATTTGAGTTGACTCAGAACCAGAATCTTTTTATTTTGCAAATCAGAAAAAAAACAAAGAGGTGAATCCAAGAACCAACAAATTAAATTGGTGTGGCCTAATGGATATGTAGAAAGCGATGATGAGTCCGAGCACCGAGTGTGCCACTTTTGAAACTTTGAAGTTCAACACTGAATTCAGAAGTTGGAATTCATGACACCATTACACTTTTTAATTAGATACACCAAATTTGGGCTCATTTTGCATTGAAATATCTGTTTTCACGGGTGTGTGTGACATAAATAAAATACAATACGGTGTATTCCACATCACCCTCGATCCCAGACCTCCCGCGGATTGTATCTTCCTATGGCCTTTGGCCGCCGGGTGATCCCGTGTCCCCATCTTCCCCTGTCCCAGGATATCTGTAACTCTTTACAAATTCATCTGACTGGAGTCTCACTCTTGCTGCTTTGGAACTTGTTAATTGTATCACCAGGATGTGATAATCACCTCCCCTCCCCATTCTCACTCATCTTTACTATCTGGCCTTTGTGCCTAGGTGATAACTAACCTGTACAATGGATGCACTAATATGCAATTTAGGTCATCAAAGAAAACAAGGATTAGGTCTCATTGGGTGAAAAGTATTTTATGATCACCATGCCTTAACAAGCAAATCTCAGATCCCTTTGGTGACCGAAGTCTGTCACTGACAGTATCCAATAGTAGCCTCTGCCAGGCTTCAGGAGGTGGCGCTGGAATTGAGTGGAAAGAGTAGAAATCGGCCAAATAGAGAGATCACATGCCACTGTGAGAGTAACTTGGTCTGCTGGACAGATCACAGTTTGTCACACCCGAAGCAACCCGTGCAAAGATTTGGTAAGCAACCACACCGTAACTTTAATTTCTCTAATAAGGAAAGACCACTTTATGGATAACATCCTCTGAAGACCTCCAAACTATTGCGAATAAAAGCAGCCGAATGAAAAAAATTCCACCCCCCCAAAAAAAATGCTCAGCACCTCTCACTAGTGCTACTACACAGTCAACAACTGCACCAGCCAGTACTGTCCAAGCAGATCCCTCTCGGTGGCAAAAAGGCAGTATCAAATTGGCCAGTATCCATTAGCCAGAGAAGGTCGCTGGCCACCGACACCGTTCAACACAGGTGAGGGTACCAACAAAAAAAGGGCCATATATAAAAAAACTAACGATCATTCCCCCACAACCTCTGCTTGGAGAGTACAAGCAAGGCCCCCTTCTGACCCAGTCCACTAACTCAGAGCCCAGAAGATTTTGGTAAGGGTAATTTGTGTCAACGTGATAATTGGACAGCGACGATTTGCATGTCTAAGAACAATAACCAACCT